GGAGTCGAAAATGTGACCACTAGAATGTTAACAAGGTTTTTCCATATTTGGGCGGTGTGACCTAGTTTTTCATCCAAGATGACCCATGTTCGATCTTGACTTAGAAATCATCAAAACAAACTTTCAGACCAATTAACAGAATATTTGGATCACAACAGTAGCCACTAGAGTGTTAACAAGATTTTTCTATTTTTAGCTCCTGTGACCTAGTTTTTCATCCGAGATGTCCCATGTTCGATTTATTCCCAGCAATGACCTAGACAAGTTTCCTGACCAAGTTTGATGACAATTGAGTCAAAATTGTGACCACTAGAGTGTTAACAGGTTTTTCTATTTTTAGCTCCTGTGACCTAGTTTTTTCATCCGAGATGAACCCATGTTCGAACTCATCCGAGTTATTACCTAGACAAGCATCTTGATCAAGTTTGATGATGATTGATGCAAAAATGTGACCGCTAAAGTGTTAACAAGGTTTTTCTATTTTTAGCTCCGGTGACCTACTTTTTCATCCGAGATGACCCATGTTCGAACTCATCCAAGCTATCAACTAGATAAGCATCCTGACCAAGTTTGATGATGATTGATGCAAAAATGTGACCGCTAGAGTGTTAACAAGGTTTTTCTATTTATAGCTCCGGTGACCTAGTTTTTCATCAGAGATGACCCATATTCGAACTCATCCGAGCTATTATCTAAACAAGCATCCTGACAAAGTTTGATGATGATTGGGTCAAAAATGTGACCACTAGAGTGGTCACAAGGTTTTTCTATTTTTAGCTCCTGTGACCTAGTTTTTCATCAGAGATGACCCATGTTCGAACTCATCCAAGCAATTGACTAGAACAAGCATTCTGACCAAGTTTTGATGATGATTGGTTCAAAAATGTGACCACTAGAGTGTTCACAAGGTTTTTCTATTTATAGCTCCTGTGACCTACTTTTTTTTCATCCGAGATGACCCATGTTCGAACTCATCCGAGCTATCACCTAGACAAACATCCTGACCAAGTTTGATGAAGATTGGGTCAAAAATGTGACCTCTAGAGTGTTCACAAGGTTTTTCTATTTTTAGCTCTTGTGACCTAGTTTTTCATCTGAGATGACCCATGTTCGAACTCATCCGAGCTTTCAACTAGATAAGCATCCTGACCAAGTTTGATGATGATTGAGGCAAAAATGCGACCGCTAGAGTGTTCACAAGCAATTGTGGACGGCCAGACGGACGACGGACGACGGACGACGGACGACGGACGACGGACATTCATCGATCCTAAAAGCTCACCCTGAGCAAGCTCAGGTGAGCTAAAAAGTAACAAAAACAAGAATACAACATAAAACCACAATGCCAAATTGAAATTCTTTCAAGACAAACTAATGATAAATTTTAGGATTTTAAATCTTATCAGTTGAAACTAAACAATGAAAAAAATCATTTTTCTTTCCCCATATTAATGCAATAATAAATAATACATCAGAACTAAAGAGTCTAGACAACATTATTTAATCATTCCATAACTTGAATTTAAGATATTGTTTAATCTATGATCTACTTTTCTATCATTACATTACAGAGGCACTGTGGTGCAGAGCAAAATTTATCATATGAATTATTTGGATCAACACATACATTTGATATAATGCAGTATCACATCTGTTTTTTTCTTCAAGAAAAGAAGAAAGAAAAAATACCACACAAAAACTGCAGTATTAATAAAACCAACGATTTTGTGAGATTCAAAGATAATGTTGGTTTGTTTTGTTTTGTTTGTTTCAGTGTAAAATTGGAATAAATGTTACAGAGTGAACACAACATGCAATATTTTAATGAGTAGTGCAGCCACATGTGAAAAAATAACAGTTGGTGTTCAAAACTGTAATATAACTTTATATCAGATTTAAAAAGAATTTTTTGTCAACAAATCATGATGTCACAAAGTTCACTTTGAAAAAAAAAATCATTTAAATTTCTCAAATTCGGTTACAATTTAACGTTCGAAATAATAATACAACTCTTATTGTTAGGAAGGTGTATAATCATCTTCATACTTCCAGTTTGTCTGTACATTTTACGTATAATCATGTGTATTTCTGCTTAAATTTACACATACAATACTATGCTCTTCATCTGAATTGAATACAGTTAAATTATATTTCAATAATTTCACTGTGAAATTATCAAACTATAATTAATTTTCATATTTCAGTTATGATAACTACTGAAAAGTATGAAAAGCTCATATTTTACAAACTCAAAAAAGCTATTTTTTTTCCTCACAGCATTTACAATTGCATAGATTTACAATACTCTAAAATGACAAAATAATTTAACTGTACAGTACATGTAGCTCATTGTGTTGTGTTTATTTTTCTCAAAATTTAATACAAAGACTTATCTTCAGGTACAAGTATATTATCAAGTACTCCTTTTTTAACAATAAATTAAATCTAAATTCGAGGGCTTAGAGCAAAACTGGTCCATCTTTATTTAGAAATAGAAGCAGATAGATCAGTTTCGATCTAAACCCTTGAGTTCTTCTCTAGTCTAACAAGTATCTATAATACAATAATTCATTTCCAAAGTTGTATGGAATACTATTTCACCAACAAATATATTATGATCTTATTTTGTCTTAACATTAAATTGAATTGTGAAAAAAAATATTGCTCTATTGAACTGGCAATAGCATAGTGCTACTAAAATTATATGAACATTTTTCTTTATACAAAAAAAACAACAAAACAACAAGCATTTGATAGTATTGCGGGCAATACAGTAGTCCCCTACCGGTCCCTCAAAAAGTTCTTTAATTGTCATACACTCCTGTGTATTGCCATTTATAATGAATTTTGAGGATGAAGTCTGTATTTGAAAAATATCAACCACAAATCAAATAAAAAATAAGTTTGTCTAATATCACAGTAATGTGTTAAGTTTCCATGCTTAGTAAGGAATTATGTTTATACAACCTGTCATATTATTACGATGTGGGATTTTAAAGTAAATCATATAAGGAATGAAAGAAGTTTGGAGTGAAAATACCAGTTTTCTCGAAAAAAATCTAAGTTCAAGGGGGACATAATTCTGGAAATAGTCTTGCTAGAGTAAATTTAACCTTCTCAAAAATGTCGAGTGATAATAAGAAACATATATATTGAAGTTTGAAGTAGATACATTAGGAAATAAAGAAGTTATTTTAAAAAAGACAACATTTTTTCCCCTAAAAAATCTTAATTTCAAAGGAGGTAAATACTGAATTTTGTGCTAGAGTTATAAAACCTGTCACATATGATGTGGTTGATGACCAGAAACTTATATTTTAAAGTTTGAAGTAAACACTTAAGAAATAAAAGAAATATAGTGAAAAAGCTGAAAAATTTAAATCAGAAATCTGAAATTCAGGCTATTTTTTGTCCCCCCCCGCCCCCCCCCCCCCCCCCCCAATAGCAACCAGAATTTTCAACATAGGAAGAAAAGAAAAGATGTGCATAATCTCCAGACTGCCATCTACCCATATTTCAAGTTTCATAAAAATATTTTCAGTACTTTTTGAGTTATCCACTGGATCCAGTTTATGTGTTAAATTTGCATATTTTTTAGACTATTTGTTGCCATAGCAACCAGAATTTTCAACATAGGAAGAAAAAAAAAAGACGTGCATAATCTCCATACTGCCATCTATCCATGTATTAAGTTTCATAAAAATATTTTCAGTACTTTTTGCGTTATCGCGGGATCCAGTTTTGTGGACGGACGGACTGACGGACTGACAGACTGACAGACAGACAGACAGACGGACAGACAGACGGACAGACAGACAGACGGACGGAGGGTAAACCTAAAGTCCCCTCCGGTTAAACCGGTAGGGGACTAACAAACATCTTAAAGATATACTATGCCAAAATTTGATATTTGAAAATATTGATAATTGGTACACAGTCTTTTTTCCTTTTTTTTGTATAAATATAAAATAAACATGTTTTAACTAGACATATTTTTTTAACATACGCTCGACTTTTTACTTTGTCTAAAAGCAAACAAAGAAACATTTGAACAAATATTAACGTTTCATTAAAAAAACATATCTTTATGCCTTACATCTTGACTTTTCACTTAATTTGAACAGAAACTCCCTGAATAATATATATTTTTGTAGAGTCAAAACCATCACATGACTATATCTAATACTGGAAAAAAATATAACTAATGTACAAAATACTTTTAAGAATAATAATATCCTACTTTTACTAATTTAACCCATAACCTGCAGAATTTGTAGAATGGATTTGACTTGCTTTGAATTTGGAACAGTCCATTCAAAAATTAAAGAAATTTCAAATTCAAAATACAAAAAATTGAGCTACCAACAGTATATAGTAGAGCCAGGTCTGACAGTTTGTTTAATTGAGTTTAAGTCACACCGACACATTATAGGTCAAGGCAAGTTCATCTTTACCGGGAGGCAGGATCAGGTACCCTTTGGCATTATTAGAGAAAGGACTGAGTAGAACCGCTGCTTCCGAAGCTGCTGGATGCTTTCCTCAATGAAAGAATCTAAAGTCCCTTCGGGATTTGAACCCACGGGGGTGAAGGGCAAGTGGTTTGAAGTTAACGACTTTAACCACTCGGTCACGGACCTGGTCAGATTGCAGGAATGTACAGACTGGCCTTAGCACTATACTGATGGAAAAAGCATAAATAACATTAGGTTTTAGCAGGTTACCGGTTAATTGTTACAGATTTCTACAATTCCATAGTATGTCTGAAATAACCAGATTAGACTGGTACTCCCTTTCAATTGTTCACATGAAAAATTGTTCAGACTGGTACCTGAGATTGTGATATTGTAACTTTAGTCTCAAAGAGCCTGCCCTTTGATTTCATTGAGATTTTTAGGTAATAAATACCTCTTACATGTACATGATTGTTGTTATTTCCTTTCAGTCAACAAAAGTACTCTTTGCTAAATGTAGATCAACAATTTTCAAAATTTTTTCTTCTATAAGTATATTGGAATGAAAATTGGTACCAATTTGTGCTCTCATACTAGATAAAAACTTCACAACTATATAATTAATCTGTAACACTTATTATATGATTATAACACTGCACAAATGAACATAGCCTGTGTAAAACTAAATGATAATTAATTCAAAATTACAATTTATTTCCGAAATTTAAAAAATATTTTGTGAGATAGGGACAATAATTGACTAGTTTTAACTGATACAAAAAATCCTTCAATACAAATTTGTTTCCTGCAAAGATAGAGTATGCATTAAACTTAAAGGTGAAGTATTAAAAATCATGTGTGATGATCTATATTTACTCAAATAAAACACTAAGGCATAAAAAATATAACACGGTTATTGAAAAGGTTTAAATGATACAGCCCAGCATAGCCACAATGAAAATTCATAAACAAGTGTCAATAATATATATATATTTATTCATCGATTCTCCTCAAATTTGTTTTTACAATTATAACCCACCTCTAACTTAAGAAATATAACTTAATTTTATTGTTAAATGCATAGCAAAAGGTTTTGCTAATCTAGACATATAAAATTAGTCTTACTGTAAGTAAGTCTTCATTAAATTTGGAAAAAATTTCCTCCTTTTGATCAATTATCTGCTCTCTACAATCACATTTTTTTAAAAGGAAATTTAATTTAATCATGCTTAAACATAATTTATCTGAAGTGCCACACCCTAATATCAATAAGATATCAATATTATAAAAAAATTCAATTATTACAAAACTTTAAAAAAAAATTTGTTCACTTCAAAAAAAGTTGTTTTTACAAAACACCCCTAAATCAGTGGGCTAAATCTATAAAACAACAACCCTTATCAAAAAGTGAAACTTTCACATACTTAAGAAATCTAAAGGTTATAAAAACAATCCACATAATTATTACTTGAAGAACATTAAAATATCAATATCAATACAAATCAAACTGAACAATAATTTTCCTCATAAATATAAATCAAGCATTTATGAAAACTTAAACATTTTATGATCTAGAGGTACGCTGCTTGAAAATTGAGAGATTATTTTGGTCATATCTATATACAAGAAGATTCATCTCCATACAGAACTATTGCAATGGTTGGTCCACTAGATAACACTATCTCTTGTCCTTCTTCTCTTTTATTGACTGTTTCTTTGTATCTGGCACTGGTAACTCAAATCCTGAACCTAAAATGGATTTGACAATTTACTTTTAACCAAGAAGCTAAAAACGAGCACTTCTATCCAGTAAGGGACCTGGGTTCGGTTCCTGGAAGGCAAAGGTAACTTTCATTTTGATTGATTATGAAATCCTTTCTATTGCACAGTACCTCTGTTCTTGTATGTACAGAAGTAATCAGTTCCTTGGAAGTTGCAAAAGTGAAGGCAACTTGTACTGGTTAAACTGCTTGGCAGCCTGCCTAGGAACCATATAATTATGCTCTGGTAAATTCAATGTGGCTTACTGCCATGATCCAGAGTGAAAACTACCAACACCCAGAGCACAGTGTTAACACTCATCTGTTGAAAATTCTAAGTTAAAAAGGGAGATAACTCCAAAATATAGCTTTCAGAATTATGCCCCTTGTCTTACAACTGTCTCTTGTCATGATTAGCAAGTATTCAAAGTTTCATATTGATAACTTTTAAAATGTTTGAATAATTGGATACAACAACGATGACGCTGTAGCGATCATAATAGCTCAACCTCTGTCTTCGAAACAATTGAGCTAAAAATGAATAACCAGTTTCTTCATAGACCTTACACTTATAACTAATCAAAATATACTATTAAATTGTAAACCTCAAACTGATATACAATATACTACCAAACCCTGAACATAAAACTTATTAAACTGTGAACCCGCCAAAAAAGATAATGAGTCCACATGTATTATCTAAACTTAAAACTAATATGATCAAACCCTTAATTAGTTTAAGGTTTATTTACAAAGCCTATCTATTCTTAAAGTAAATATATTTGTGTGTACAGTTTGTTTTTTGCTTTTATCCTGAACCAAAATCATTTCTACAGGCTTTTGATTGACCCTGAGGAGTTATATAATACATGTATGTCTTTCTAAATACAAAATATTGAAGCCAAAAATCTGCTTCCTTTTAATTTAGAAATACTTCTCAAATGTACCTTTTATTCTCAAAAGAATTAATTTCATTTACCTTACATGAACTTACTATATATTTCTAGCAGAATTAAAATTCTAAGCAGTCTGTGAATAACGCTGTGACATTTTCTTTTTGGCCCTAAAGCTTTATTATTGAAAACTTGAAATATTGATGAAATGCTTATTTCTATATACAAAATACATATAAAAATTATACACTGTGCAATGAGCTAAGAGGCTTACCCATCAAATTCATATAAAATCAAACATACCTTTTTGATCTAGGTTTTTTAAGTCTGTGGCTTCATGTTTTAATCGTAACTTCAATACATAATGCATTAACTCTTGTCTGAAATAAGACACATTTGTATGAATAATGAAACAGACACATTAGTATGAAAAGAAAAACACAAGGTTTGCTTTATAAACTTGCCTGCTTTCAAGTTGGAAGAGAAGAATAGTAATTCAACATTACCAGTTCCATTTGTATAATGGATATTGCAAAGTTGAAGGGATTTTAATATCAAAATATAACAAGAGCTGTCGGTAGGACAGCAACGCTCGACTATTCTTAGTGCTTGATAGTAAACAAGAGGGCCATGATGGCCCTGAGGTCGCTCACCTGTATATAGGCCCCCGGAGCGGGGCCAGTTTAAACCCCAGGGCTTTTATTTGAGCAAACTTGGAAGACACCCATTAGAAGATGTTTCATGATGTTAAGTATTTACTACACATATATAATGAAAAACAATGACCTCCGCCCCCCCCCCCCCTTTGGCACGGCCAATTTAAACCCAAGGGCTTTTATTTGGACAAACTTGGTAGACACCAACAAAAAGATGTTTCCTGCTTAAAATCTAACCTCTAGCTCATTGGGTTTTTTAAAAGAAGATTTTTTAAGTTTTTACTATACACATATAGTTAAAAACAATGACACCTCTGGGGCGGGGCCAGTTTTAACCCTAGGGCTTTTATTTGAACAAACTTTGTAGACACTTACTAAAAGATGTTTCATTCTTAATATCTAAACTCTAGCTATTTGGGTTTTTTCAAAGAAGATTTTTAAGTTTTTGCCATACACATATAAGGAAAATCAATGACCCCCGGGGCAGGGCCAATTTTGACCCCAGGGCTTTTATTTGAACAAACTTGGTAGACACCCATTAGAACATGTTTCATGCTAAATATCTTAACTCTAGCTCTTTGGGTTCTTTAAAAGAAGATTTTTAAGTTTTTACTATATGCATATAGGGAAAATCAATGACACCCTTGGGCGGGGCCAATTTTGACCCCAGGGCTTTTATTTGAACAAACTTGGTAGACACTCACTAGAAGATGTTTCATGCTTAATATCTAAACTCTAGCTATTTAGGTTTTTTCAAAGAAGATTTTTTAAGTTTTTGCTATACACATATAAGGAAAATCAATGACCCCCGGGGCGGGGCCAATTTTGACACCACAGCTTTTATTTGAACAAACTTTGTAGACACCCATTAGAACATGTTTCATGCTAAATATCTTAGCTCTAGCTCTTTAGGTTCTTTAAAAGAAGATTTTTAAGTTTTTTCTATATGCATATAGGGAAAATCAATGACCCCCTGGGGCGGGGCCAATTTTGACCCAAGGGATTTTATTTGAACAAACTTTGTAGACACTCACTAGAAGATGTTTCATGCTTATTATCTAAACTCTAGCTCTTTGGGTTTTTTCAAAGAAGATTTTTTAAGTTTTTGCTATACACATATAAGGAAAATCAATGACCCCCGGGGCGGGGCCAATTTTGACCCCAGGTCTTTTATTTGAACAAACTTTGTAGACACCCATTAGAACATGTTTCATGCTAAATATCTTAGCTCTAGCTCTTTGGGTTCTTTAAAAGAAGATTTTTTAAGTTTTTACTATATGCATATAGGGAAAATCAATGACCCCCTGGGGCGGGGCCAATTTTGACCCCAGGGCTTTTATTTGAACAAACTTTGAAGACACCCATTAGAAGATGTTTCATGCTAAATATCTTAGCTCTAGCTCTGTGGGTTCTTTAAAAGAAGATTTTTTAAGTTTTTACTATATGCATATATGGAAAATCAATGACCCCCTGGGGCGGGGCCAATTTTGACCCCAGGGCTTTTATTTGAACAAACTTGGTAGACACTCACTAGAAGATGTTTCATGCCAAATATCTAAGCTCTAGCTCTTTGGGTTTTTTAAAAGAAGATATTTAAAGTTTTTTCTTTTGGTTACCATGGCAACCAGAGTTCTGCATGGAATTAAATTCTTTGAACAATTTTTAAAGGTGACCACCAAAGGAACATTCCTGTGATGTTTTGATGAAATTGGCTTAGTGGTTTATGAGGAGATGTCATTTGAAGTAAAAGTTTACGGACGGACGGACAACGGACGGACGCCGGACGAAAAGCGATCACAAAAGCTCACCCTGTCACTTTGTGACAGGTGAGCTAAAAAAGCCTTGATTAAAAGGTAAAATTTTCTAAGTAAAGAAAAAGGCAAATTTTTTTTTAAAATCCATATAACAGTAATAGGCCTTGGAGAGAGTCCTATTATGCTCTCAAAGAAGATTATAAAATTTCAACATGTTTCAAAGCCTTATGTCAATGAACTTTGAAAATATTTGAGGTATTACAAAAACTTTAACATAAATTCTTACTCGAAAAAGGGGCATTATTCTGTCAAAATGCTTGATAGAGTTACCTCCTCCTGTCTACATGTTGGGGTCATGATGGTGAACAAGTGTGCAAAGTTTCAAAGCCATATGTCAATGGACTTTGAAAATATTTGAGGTATTACAAAAACTTTAACATAAGTGGTTACGCCGACGCCGACACAGACGCCGACGCTCGGGTGACAACAATAGCTCTACTTATTCTTATCGAATAGTCAAGCTAAAAAGTGAGCTATCAACAGTAGAGAGCCGACACTGGTGGCAAAGGCTAATCATGTTCGCTTACAGCAGGTTATTAAGATCTAAATATAAAACTGAGCCCCCAATAATAATTTAATACCAGAGAATTTAGTAAAATAAGTGGACTGGATGAAGAATAAAATAACATACCTGTGCTGAGGGTTGGTAATACCAATCTTCTCAAGTTTGATTTCTGTAAGGCGTATAAGTGTTCTTCCTGAAACAGCAATATTTTCATGTATGAATCTACCTATTGTTAGGTTCAATATCTAAGAAATGTCAAAACATTTACACTATTAATTCTTAGTTAGGCAGGCTGCCGCAGTCATCATACCAGGTGGTCTGGTTTTAAGATTTGACTTGCTAATCCAGTATGCTAACCATTACACAACAGTGGTCGCTAGATTTTTTCCATGCCAATTGATCATATACATGTTTAACACATCTTACCTTTGTACAAAGCTTTTTTATTTTGACTCTTAGAATCAATCTGATATTGTAATTCACCACAAAGAAGTACAAATTAACAGGGAAGCATAAAAGCTCTTAATGAAAAAGTAATTCTTCCATTGGATTATTTCTTACATTAGAAAAAACCTTCACATACCTGTTACCTCCTGATTTAGGAAAAGTTCACCATAAAGATCATGACAATGTCCTCCATGTTTCTTTAACCATTTATTTACATCGGCACTGGTCCAGAAATACAGGGGTTTGGTCTTACTGCGGGTCACTTTCTTACCCGTACTGCTTACACTTGCTTGTTCTTTTAATTTTGGCTGTAACATACATTACATTTATAATAATTTATAAATATAAGATTCATGGTTTTTATTTTCCATTCAACACCTTTCACCCTTTTTATCCAAAACTAATTAAACAGTTTTCATCCCAGACCTTCATGATGATAACATCTAATATTAGAATAACCCATTCCAATACCAGAGGGTAAAAGTCTGGTTTTATAGATAGATAGAAAAAAAACAATTTAATCTTTTTAAACATGTACAGAATACTAATTGCTGGCTACAGTTATATGTAGTTCAAGAGAGTTAAAATTTTGAAAATAGTTTGGTTAATAATAATTGATGTAGTCTCAAGTTTGAAATGACATGCATTGTAACTGCTCCCTTGAGATATACATGTAACACATTAAAATAAAATTTGTACAGAATTCTGAAAAAATACATTACATTTTATGACCCTATAATTTTAATTGCAGATGTATGCAAATACTATAATAAGAAGCATACAAATGCACATGTGTATGTCATTAAAAATTACTTAAAATTATTGAACAGTCAAAATTACTTGTAATTATTGAACAGTCATGAAACAGGATTTTTACATTACTCACACGGCTAACTGGTAGTGCTGCCACTTCTGGAATTATTTTTTCCACTGGTTTCTCATCAACCTTCTCCATATTTTCAGCCTTTCTTTCTAACTCCATATTAACCTGTTTCCTGGAAAAACAAAAGCCTACTCTTTATAAAAAATGAAGTCATGAATACAAGAGCTATACTTGAATGTGACTCATAACCCTGTAAGTATCCTTAAAGTTAAAGTATCCACATCATTGTACTTTTGTAGTATGTGTAAAAGAGCTTATGTTAATCAGAGCTTATGTCAATTGTTTATGAATCCGACTTATCAATAAAATTTACTTGACTTGATTTGATCATGTAATTTAAACTTTTGATATATGTAATTTAATTAATTTTATCCATTAATGTCAAACTCCTTGCTGGGATGCAGACAAACTTATTTATGTCAAACTCTAAAGAAAGTTAAAAAGAGAAGTGTAAAAGAGGATCAAAAAAGAATATTAAAAATGTTAGAAAAGGTGGGCTGGCAGTGTTTTTTTTTTTTTACTTTGGGGAAGGGGGTCGGTGCCCTTTGGAGGGGGAAAATGCAATAGGAGCATGGGAAATTTTATTTGTTTACTTATTTTATATTGTTTTCTTTGCGGTAAAAAATGGGAGCAACTCTTGCAACACAAGTTTAAAATATGTCGCTTTTTCTAAATATACGGATCTAAAATATCGATGTGTCTCATGTTTAACTTGTTGGCAAGCTAGAATTAGCTCCACTTACCTACCAGAGAACAATTTGTAAACAACCTTGCTGAACAGTAACTCATCAGGCAAAAATAAAACATTTTTTGGCAGTAAGTTGCAAAAAAAATGATATTCATTGCAGGCAAATTTGGGCTGCCATATAGGGGGAAATTTCAGCTTTGAGGGGAAAAAAACAAACTATTTTGAGGGGGGGAATGAGGCCGAATTTCGCAAATATTTTGGTGAACAAAAAACACTGGCTGGAAATCTAGGGTGAGACATATTCAATGCAAGCCACGGCTGCACTGAACTGTTCTTCTTGGGTAGGGAGTAGGGAAACCGCAGGGGGGAGGTGGTTCCAGTGGTTAACAGTCCTAGGTAGAACAAAATGAGAATTTATAATAGTCTTAAGTTGCTGTGAATAATGTATAACACAGGTAATGGACATGGCGTGATGATACGGAGAGGGGTATCACATATTTTTCTGTGTGCAGACCAAAGAGAATTTTGTAGAAAAGTGATAGCCTATCATCTGCATGTCTGAATTACTTTTTTCTAAACTTAAGGGAGTGAAACGTATCCGTGACACTAGAGGTCTGACAATAATCTGGCTTGATCCACAGACGCTTGGGATTTGGAGCTCAAAACGCCTTTAAAATCCAAATAAAATGCATATTTGTCAATCCCAGGACAAGTACTGATCATATATATCAAAAAATCTTAATATATGCCGTTTTGAAAAAAAATCATATTTCAACATCTATAATAATACAGTGTATTATTATAGATGTTGAAATATGATTTTTTTTCAAAACGGCTTATATTAAGATTTTTTGATATATATGATCAGTACATGTGCTGGGATTGACAAATATGCATTTTATTTGGATTTTAAAGGCGTTTTGAGCTCCAAACCCCAAGTGTCTGTGGCTTGATCCATCAGGCTACTCTCCTTTTGACATTTTCAATTTGATCTACTTGTATTTAGGTGCGGTGCGACAATGCTTCATATTCGAGCAGGGGCATCTGTAACGTTTTCTGATATATTACGAAAGCCTATTACAGTAACTACAGAAAACAAGTTGGACTCGCGTATTATTCCAAACAAAAATAAAGCATTTTATGATATGGATCAAAACAAAATTTTTTATCGTAGTATTTGCGTTATTTTAGGTTTTAAAGGTCTTACCATTTATAACCAGCGACTGAATAAAATTATTTAATATATTTCCAAATTATGAAATTATTTTCAGCAAAGAAGAAACCATCGTAACAACAAAATACGACATAAATTTCCTCAATACTTCCTCATTTCATCTCAATCGCCCAAGCGCTCAAAATAATAGCATGAAAATACTTCCTTGTATTTTCTTATTATTGGGTTGCATGACACTAAATATTCAACGCACTAAAATATTTAACGTACTATAAGATCATTATAGTTCACAAATATTAGAGTAAAAAATATTTGACGGGTGTTTTAGGATAAATTTATCTGCATGTTTTAGAGGAACTTCACTTAGAAAAAGCCTAAAAATATAAAATCTGAAATTCTTACATAGTCCAGGGTCTTTCAAATTTGAAAGAGTCTGCATAGTCTTAGACCCAGCACAGTGTTGGGATAGTGTAAAAAAAGTAATTCTAGAAAAAAATATATACATATATTTTTTTTTCTATAATTACTTTTTACACTATCCCAACACTGTGCTGGGTCCCTGTGAGACCAACAGGAAGATATGAAAAAGATAAATGAGAAATATTTAGATTCAGAAATTTATAATAAATTTGTTCTTTTGTGCCCTTTGAAGTCCGCTTTTCGCAACTATTTTCGCTTTTGGTCATTTTTTTCACAATTATAATAATACTAAGTAGTTCTGGAAAAACGGAGTTAGCACATGATCTATATATATGCACGCAAGTTACTGATGTTCACCTATACAGTACAGCAAATGGAACACGTTCCTCGAAAAATAATTTCCAGTCCCGTCATGTCAAGGAAAAAAACTCAGTGGACTCCCTTTAAGCACTTAGACAACACCATTGGTTGTACCTGGGACGCATTTATATTTAAACTATGATTAAATTAATACATGGCAAATACTGTCTTAGAGGTTTTTTTTACCTTATTACTATAACAAATAGAGAGATTTATTTTAGTTTCCTGTTGGGTCTTCTGTGACATAACTGTCAGACCTTGTAATTATGAATTAGTCAACGCAAATCGTACATTTAGTGTGATTTATTACATTTAAATACAGAATCTTACTCAAATAAATAGAATGATAAACATTCTACTTAATTAGTGAAACAACGCAGCTAGTATATATGTACAATCCAGGACATTTTTTTGTCCCAGGTACAATGTAATAGCATTACCGTAAGAGACTAAAGTCAGAAAGTTCAAACACGTAATGTTTATGCATAGATTTACATTATATTAATTCCTATAAGTTTCATTGTGTGCAACTTTCAATTCTTCTCTTTTATAGCAAAGAATGTGAGATACGAATCTTTGTTTTTTGTGTGTCATTTAAATGTCAAAATATCATAATTATGCGCTATCTAAAATGATATACAATATGCATATCATTTGTGAATTACAGATAAATCGTCTCTTTAGCATAAAGTTTCTGCATTTATCATTGCACTGTAAAAGAGCCAAAATTTACTCAAAAGTCTTGTTGTATTTGTAATTTACGATTTCATCCACAAGCTTTACGATGATTTATGATTCAAAGTGGGCTAGATTTTAGAAACAAGTTCTTTTTGTTACAAGACGCCCTTTTAATGCGTAAACGTATTTTATCATATCAACATACATCTTTTTATCATGACGGATAGTGTATTTATTTTTGTTATGCCCGGCAAAATTGGAATTTTTCTTTACCTAATTTTTCTTACCGTGATATCACGTGCGTTCTCGATCACACGTGTGTGATAAACATGTATTGTACAATTTATATATACAGTTTTTTTTACACCTTTGTATGCATTCAGTTATCTGCCCCGGATTATTTATTAATCTCACGAAAGCACTTCTTTTTAACCGTTATGGTTTTTTTAGTAAGTATAGCCAGAAGGTTTTAAAATACTACCTATTTTTATCAATAAAAATACCAAGACCGGTTTAGCCCCAGTGATCAATTTCAAAAGATTTTCTCACGTGACGTATAGTAATTATTTTTCTTTCACAAACCATAGCCACTGTACCGTAGTTGTGTAGACAGCTATAGAATTTCAATATCGACCAGTGGAAATAAAACAGGGAATAAGCAGCCAAACGGGACGGCAAAATATTTACATATTTTCTGTATGGATTTATATGATTAAACAGCAAACTATTCACGGTAATAAGGTTAGAATTTATTAATTTTATACTTGGCTTAACATTTAACGTTTTCGAGGAGGTAGTTTTATCAACAAGTTAATACAGAATTGACGTAACTTGGTGACAGGTGTGTCTGAAAATACCAACTGTACTGATATAGTTTAATTGGTTCAATCTATAATACAACGTATTTACATAAATTTGTATATTGTATATGGAATTTGTTGGAATATTGTTGGACGAAAAGATCAATTAAAACTATGGTAAGATTTGTTGATAAAATACGTCTTAACTAAAGTATTTTCGTACATAAATATATGTATTTTGTTAGATCGTCATGTATATAGACAAGAATCACTGTATCATTTATTGCGAGTTTATATTATTCAATGTGTATGGTTTATGCGAGCACAATGTCTTTACTTCCGAGATCACTTGTAGTTTATTTGCAATTGAACTTAATCGTAATTAAACCTGTATCACAATCTTAGCAAATAAGTTTCTTTTACTGAAAAGGAATAAAAATACAATAAATTTCATTCGATTCAATGAAGAGAAGAAAAAACTTATTCTATTATAGAATAACTGAATTAGATAAGTGATCTGACATTGACTTATGAAACACTTATTAAACATATAATATATATTGATTTATTGTCAATTTGGCAAGCATGCTATCTTTTCCATTCTGGGAGAATAATTGATTGTTTTGGTGGTCTATGCAGGAGAAAAAACATAATTTTCGCTTCACTGAAAAAATAAAACGTTACTATTATTATTACATTGTATGAAACACATGCTTCAAGACTTTTTTTCTCAAATATAATTGAAATTTTATTTATCCAAAAGCGTTCTGCATTGCTGAAATTAAATTATATTAGCAAAAGGGGTCTGTAAAGTACTTGTGTCCAATTGCGATATTTTCTTCCTATTGTAAGCGAATACTTAATGGCCTTTAATTTTCCTTCGCCTTTTAAATTTGGAGTTGTCATTTCTGGTCAATGTAACGAGAATGTCTAATTTGTTAGTATAATACGTGTCTAACATGCAGACATTCGGGATGATGCCCTGGCTCAATGATATACTTTTGGCCAATATCTATTACATTGGACTGCTGGGCGTATAGCGACATAACACTTAAAATGTGGTTAAATAATAGGTTAACTAATTTAATACCACACTCTTTATATTCATAAAGCTCTTTATAACGTTGCTAACGAATATCCATATATTGTATTATATATGTACATGATTGTTTATACATAATTTATAAAGCGTTCTTCATCATACTACGTAACTTGTTGTCATAATATTGCACAGTGACATCATTGTGTTTGATAATGCATGAAGTTCGTAAAATGTCGTCTGCTGTGTTAATAGCATTTCATCTGAAACGTCTGCATTTTGCAGCAGAGATTATAAGTTCCATATAGACCATTGCGTCTTCAGTGTTTAAAGAATTAGTCTCCTGGCTGGTTGGAATTTCTAAAGCGGATGCCGATTTTAGTTCTAAATCGATTTTATTAAAATATGTTTTATAAGAAATAAGTCCGTAAACTAGCCAAAATGTCTATACTATTGCATTAATCAAATGTGAACATACAGAAAACAAACAGAAAACCGATGTATTTATTTATATTATAAGACATTAATTGATTCTATCTCCCCAGTCCACACCCCTTCATTTTTCCCATTTTGTCGGCTCACGACTCATGAATTTGGACCTTTTAGGTTTCAGTTATGTATTAATTGAAAGTAGTATTGGTTGAATCTAGGAATTTAGTTTATTCTGTCTTAGAATATAGTTTTGTATTGTTCCCACTTATCTAAGAATGCTGCCAGAGTCTTCAGTCCAATTTGGTTATGCCCAAGACATTCAAGGTTCATAGTCCTTTATAATTCCTGTTTAATCCTTGACATCTTCAATATTATTTAGCGTTCGATGTTGTGATAGTGTTTTACTGGGTTTCAACTAAGTTATGGTCACAATCGGCAACCAATGTGTTATATCAGATGGTAATATGTAAGATAATAATATATAAAATGGTAATATACACTAACACAATGTCATAAACCCGTGTTTTTCAACAAAGGGAACGAGTGTTCGAGCACTATTTAAGGCAACGGTCTACACCAGCTAGCGATTCCACATATGACATCAGTATTAATAAATACAAGAAGTAGAAGAAACTCGAACATGAGACTAAATTTATTTTTTTTCGCCAACGAATGAACGGCTGTATTGTTCAGAATTAATGTTAAATTATGTAAAATATATTATTTAGAACATTAAATGTAGTTAAACATGCATGAATGTGATAATTAATATTTCGTGACATCCGTCATCGGGATGTTGTAATAATATATATTACGCATATACATAATGTATTGAAATCACATTTCTTTCATTGGCGATATGAAACAACCTTTCTTAGCTCAGAGGGCGTGTCGTTCACGGATAAAGTAATTTCAATAGAAAAGTTCGATGATGGGATTTTGAATGTATTTATTTTTGGTGAATTAAATCCCGCACCTTTTTTCGACGATGAGAATGAGAAATAAAGTTTTGAAATAAAGAAGTGAAAGTTAACAGTTTACTTTAAACTAGAAGCGTTTTCGGCGTTCAGTTAAATGTCGTCTGCTGTTTTGGGTGAAAATTAACTGACCGATATTCAACGAGCTATTGGTCGTCGGGAAACCTTAAACCCAAAACAAAAAGAAGTTCATAAATAAAAAAAACACTTCGTCATCGCACAATTCATGGTCAATTAAGGTTCAATTAAGGTCACAGACACACAGCCCACGGGCCTGAATGTTTATATTATATCGACATAAGTTTTGATTCAGCCAGATTGTCATGCTCTTAGAATGTGTATCATACGTTTATTTTTATAACAAGGAATGTTATAATTTCAAAAGATCTCGTGATAAAGGATTGTATAACCCATTCTTTTCATGTAAGAATTGTAGGATTATAAATGTTACACGGTTTTACATTATCATTATGCTATTGTATTACCGGATGACTTGACAATGTTTCAAATTGTCATCTCATTTTTCTTTAAAACTAGGTTGTACATGTGTTGGGTTCCGCATACTATTTTAATGATCCGGTTTGATAAAAACTGGTACAGGTGAAATTAAAACTTTCTCCTCACAGATGAAAATATTTAGGTCAGTGTTATCAAATGACTACGCCTCCCATAAAATACAGGCGTGTCCTATTTAGGCAACTGAAAAAGTTTTTAGATATTGTTGTTTATCACCAATATACACCTGCATGTTGAAAGAATGCGATAGAGAACGGGGGGTATGTGATTAATTTTTAATATCTTAAATATAAGAGGTCGTCGAAAAGAGATATTTTAGTATACTCCTGACAATAGTGGTTGACGATTTAGCGATTTATTTTTTTACCATAAATGAAAGAGTAAATGCAACTTTATCCACATTTCACAGCATATAAAGGCTCGTTATGCGTCACAAGTAGATATTTGTTCTTCTGTAAAAGAACAAACATGTGTTTGATGCATGAGAAGTTTTTTTAGCGCCTTAAGAAAATAGCCCTGAATGTGAAACTTTTTTGTGAAAAGTTCAGTCATAAAAATGTAAACAAAGTGGTATTTTGACTTCTATTCACTATCATTTACTAACGGTCAAAAAGCAAACGATGGATACGTTTCGGAACCTGTAAATTAAAAACTTTGATCTTTGGAGCTTAATGGGTCTTTAATTATTAACACCGTCTGGACTGGGAACCACTACCCACATCTTTAGAACGGCTGCCACTTTTGAAAGCATTTTTAAAGATCCCCAGTCTTATAGTCCAGCTTAATGAAAATGTGATTTGGTGGCGTATAAACACGCGCGTACGAGTATGTTTCTCCGTTGCAGAACTCAAATTTTCAGGGTTTTTTTTCACGAATCCGCACGGAATAGCATTTTCAGATGGTAATTGCAGTCTTAAGATCGGTCACGTATCATCCTGTTTAAGGATATGTGCATGGCCATTAATAATGTAACCTACGGAAGCGAAAAGGTGCTTTCTTCGCATTTATGTTTTATTACGCTATTGGCATTAAAAAGGAGATATGTACTGCCTTCTCTATGCAAATGATTTCACACTAATGCGTTTGTCAGATTTAGAGATCAAATCTTTTCATGCGCATATGTCATTATTACGATAATCTTCACGGTAAATATTCTGAATAAATTTTACATGAATAACAATTTATTAGCACGCAAATAAATACAAAAACAGGCAGAAATTATCCTCCATATGACTGCTTTTAAAAGACGATTTAACGTTAAATTTTATCGAGCCATAGTTCATATTTGTTTTTTGTAAATGATATATCATTTGACGCTTTTCCACTATAATTAATTACAAAACTTGTTCATTCGTTTATTTCTGACAGCTATATATCTATATATTAATTAAGTGTCTGTGAAGCAAATAAACAAACAAAAAACTGTTTATTGTATTTGTTGTTTTAAACGACATTATAATCAAACAATTAAGAATAGAGAATATGCCTAAAAGGTTAGAGAAACTGAAAATGTTACATATTGGTGTTATACAAAAATTTCATACATGTAGATAAAAAAACGAAATTCACAGAATTGCAGTATATTTTATGCATTTTAAGCAGCGTTTCAGTTTCAAGTAGTAGTATGCGGCTGTCATTTTTTTCCTATCCAGTTTTATCTAAAGTTTTATTCCACCTGCAAAATGCCATACACTACAAATGTTTACATTTAAAGAATCACAATAGGTGTTTTATAATATATGTAGTTTAAGTAGGCATAATATAAGATATTTATAAGATCTATTGAAAAGAAAAAAATATTTTAATTGCTCACAGTAGGATATTATTTTTGAAAAAAATATTGTCACGAAAGACGGATAATACACCATCAAAAATAATTGCCTGCTTAGAAAGATTTAGGATAGATACAAATCTTGAGTATTCAACGACACTGTAGTGTTGCACTTTTCTCTCATTTATAGTTTTTAAGGCACTCAACCAATTGGAACACCTCGGTTATTATCAATAATATCCGAAGTTTGACGGAAAAAGCCGAGAAGATGCTCATATATGAATGCGAATTGAAATTTCCTCTGAAGGAAAGAAAATTTGTGTTTTACAATGTTTTAATAATGGATTTCGAGCATGTTAGATTCTTATCACGTGAAAAACTCGGCTTTGTATATACATGATTTGTCTAAACATAAACAAAATGGGTCTTGAGGGCGGGACGGTTTTTTTGCGGGGGTGGGTAGTCTTTCATACAAAATACTAAATACAATATTGTTTTACAAAATTGGTGGCCAAATAAGCAAGAGACTGTGTAGCTATATGGCCAATAAGTACCCATTGTTGAAACTGGGGCAGAACACATAAAACAAAGAGCTTCTTAAATAAAACATTAAAGTACTTTTGGGACTTAATGAGCATTTGAGAGTGGCTGTTGCTAATGTCAGTGCACACTGAGATCACGTCCATATGGCGCGATTAAACGTAGGTTATGGTTATTAAAAAATCTCACAACTTTCATCACAATAAAAAGCTTAAACTATTTCAGTTTGATCGTTAAAATGACAAATTTCCATTTTCAGTCTTACATCTAAAACCAGCCGCACGGAACTCTTACTTAACCAAATCTCTTAATTCTTTCATTTGGATTATTTCGTATGGTAATTACAGGTTTAAGATTTAAATCCAGAAAAGAGAATAATGTTATGCGAAGAATACGACAACATTACCGTGTATTTCTGCTTTCTGCGTGTCATAGGATTATATGATATATTAATTAAAATGACTAAAATGAAGACGAAACTATGTTATATCAAAGTTTCTGTTTCAAACTGGTCAGATCCAGTAATGTTTGTGTGACGAGAACCTGTTTTTTTATGAAATAAAAGTGATAGTCTTTAATTTTTAGCTCGACCATTCGATAAGAATAAGTAGGGCTATCCTAGTCACCCGAGCGTCGGCGTCGGTGTCGGTGTCGACGTAACCACTTATGTTAAAGTTTTTGTAACACCTCAAATATTTTCAAAGTTCATTGACATCGGGCACACTTGTTCACCATTACGACCCCAACCTGTAGACAAGAGGAGGTAACGCTATCAAGCATGTTGACAGAATTATGCCCCTCTTTCGACTTTAAATTTACGTTAAAGTTTGCGTACCACCTCAAACATTTTCAAAGTCCATTGGCATACTACTTTGAAACTTTGCACACTTGTTCACCATCATGCCCCCAACATGTAGACAGGAGGAGGTAAATCAATCAAGCATTTTGACAGAATAATGCCCTTTTTTCAACTTGGAATTTATGTTAAACTTTGTGTACTACCTCAGATATTTTCATATTTCATTGACATCTTATACACTTCTTTGTGAGCATTTTAGGACTCTCTTCAAGGCTTATAACATGGAAATGAAAAAAATGGGCCCTTTTGTGAACTTAGCAAACTTAACATTATCAAGGCTCTTTTACTATCAAGCACTAAGAATAGTCGAGCGTACTGTCCTTCCGACAGCTCTTGTTTTTGTATTGAATACCATTATAGCTTTGTGTTTATATTTCAGGATACTTCCGGCACGTTTGAACCATGGCTGAACGCAACATCCGTCATGTAGAAGACGTTTTCAATGGACGTGTAAACGGTGTGGCACCTAACAAGCAACACAATATATTAGACAGGAAAAGTAGCTTCAATATGTTTAAAAATAAACAGGCTCCAAGACCTCCGTCAGATCAAATGCCGTTACCGAAAATTGGTAACTATCAGCCGAAGATGTTACTTCAAAAAACACCTGGTGACGGTGAACATGATCGTAAAGACAATATTCACCAAGTGCAAGTTCACCATACAAGTAATGGCGTTTCAGCACCGCCGTTGATTATTGGTGACAAAGACGTTCCCCTTCGTATTGAAAACGACACGGTTGATATAAGAGATGACCAGCCTATACCAGCACCCAGACGGAAACGCCGCGCGCCAAATGCACCGGAAACGGAAATTATTCATTCTGAACCATCAACAAGTAATCCGCTTTTCGGCAGATCAATGTCGCAAAGGTCAGATGAAGAAAGGTTTGAAATGGACTTAGAAGAGCAAGGAGGTGATATTGACTTTAGCAACGGTCTTGATAATCCGGGATTTCATTCACGAGAAAGGAAAATTAGTGGGGTGTCACGTGAAAGAACAGATAGTGAATATTCTTGGGCTGAGGAGCAGCACCAAAGAATTCAAAATGAACACCAAAATAATAAAAATGGGATAACGTATCCCTACATACCACCTCCTGATTATGAGGATGAGGAAATGACGATGGAGTTTGAGGATGATTATGAACCAATGGTAGATTATGAAAGAAACAACGCAAAAGTTTATAGAGAATTAGAAGGAGATGATTTTGGGAAATACATACAAGAAGACGATTACGAGTTTGATGCACCAAACCGACCTCTTCGACATCCTCCGCCACCTGGTAGTCAAGGGGGACATTTTATGCAAAATAGGCCCCGGCATGTTCAAAAACCATTAAAATCAAACAAAAACATTGACAAAAAAATGACCAAATCAAAGAAAAAACACGCCCCTAGTGAACCAAATATGAAAAGAAACACTATACGTGATTTTACTTTCTCTGACTCTAAGATAGGGTGGGGTGATAGAACAACAAAAAGTACGTCTGCTAAGGGGCGCTATATCAAACATAACAAAGACCGTATGCGTATTGACAACGCAGAGACATTTGGACAGAAAGACACGAAAGGGTCTTACGAGGAATTTCTAAGGGTCAAGAATGGGATTCCTTTAGAAAGCCCCAATAGTAGTGATAGCGGAGTAGATACGGGTGAGGAAAGACATCATATGAACATGTATCAACATAGTCAACCAAAACAAATGAGAAACGGAAAATATGAAAATAAACAAAGTATGTGGCAAAGATTAACATGGAGATTTCGCAAGCCCCCTCCTGCTCATATAATACAGTCAGAACGTTTATGATAAAACATTTGTAGGAGAAGAGGAAGGGGTGACTATGTGTTGGAATTCAGCTATAGATCTATCATAGATATGATTCTTTTCGGGATTTCTTTTCTTTCGAAACAGTGTAATCATGGTCATTAAATCTGATACAAACCTAAATCTGATACAAACCCAGTCTGTGGATTTTACGAGGTGGTGCACTAAGTTAAAAGAAAGTGTTGAATTGGAGATAATGCGCTTATTCTTTGTTGTAGAAAGTGGGTCATTAAGTTGTTAAAAATAATGTAAGTATGAGGCAATACTACTAATGACAAATCAAATTATTTGGTATTTAAAAGTTCAGTACAACCACAACAGAAACTAAATGTTACATTTCGGAATCTTGTTAAAGAAAGAATTGCTTTGATGTTAAAGGAATTTGTAAACAGTTTAATTGCGATTTCTAATCTAAAATTCATTGTACATGTACTTGCTCGATTTAGCAACATGTATGTACATGTATTCCATTCGTTATTATAAGTCGTCTGCTGATGTAACTAGAAGCAGACGATCAGGGGTAAATCTATGTTCTCTAAATGGATAAGTTATGAATTCAGAGAAGAGAGAAAAAAAATACAGAAGATTTTGGTTAAAAATGGCATTTAAAAGTGATGTAGGCATTTTCATTTATAAAATTACAAGTCGTTGACTGTTGATTGTTCAAGCAAATATTAAAGTGCATACTGTTGTACTTTTGGGCGTTATAAAGTGTATAAATGCTTTTGTAAATATTTGGTTTTAACTGTGATATTACTGTTAACCAAGCAGATAACTCGTTTTTTTTGGTTGATATCAAGGGTATTTCAATGTTTAAACAACTTGTTAAGCACGAAATTATCAGCAAATCGGTACAGGCACGTATTAATTAAAGTACATTTTTACCTGAATATGACTTTTTCATATGAAAGTCATTTTTTATTCATCAGTGCAAATAAATACGCCCATGTACATTGACTGCCTAAGTAAATACAGACTGTTTGCAAATTTATTTAATGGAATCAGTGAGCCGGTATATTTACATAGTTTTAGATGACGAACCTTCTTTCAGTAGGGCAAAGTGTTCATGTGCATAATATGTAAAGAAATATAAATATTTTTTACATTTTCAAAGTCTCATCACGATCTACTTTGGCTGCTGTATTACCGACATGGATTTTTTTAATTAGAAGATGTACCTATAGATTGTTTAAGACTGTTTTGATAATTGTTAAATGTTTGTAGTACATATTATATACAGCAATATATATACAATTTATGATACAGATCTCGAAATGATATCAAGAAGTTATAACACCGCCCTATATTATACACATTTGCGGAAGTCGGTCGTGATTGGTCTTTTCAGAAAAAGTAAATCGTATGATCAGGCGATAAACAGAGCTGTGTTCAGAAGGCTACAAAACATGTGCCTTTTATACTGAATGTTTAAATCATAATTCATAAATTTAATTGCAATGGAGACATATTAAATATTTCATGACGTTATTTTCCATATCCTTATTTCCATACAGCCATTAGTTTATATAATATATGTCTATGCTGCACACAATTTGAATATATCTTATATAACAGACATGCATGTTATTTGCGTGTGTGATACGATCCTAATTAGCATTTGGCAAACTTGCAGTCCTTCTTAAGTTTATTCTAAGTACTCGGTGAACTTTATTAATATTATGTATACGTTTTTGATAATTTTATTACTTAGCGCCGTGAAGTCATAATTTCTAGAACAATATCGCATTTCAAACAGATAAACATGTACATTTTTGTATATGTTTTGATAATTTTATTGCCTAGCGCTTTGAAGTCATAATTTCGTACATTAAATTTTTCATGAATGACTTATTATAATTTAGTTCTTTTTATGGTTAAGTTTATGATGTTTGCCTGTTTGGAAATTAAACAACATTAATATTGAATACATTGTTGAAATACATGACTAGTCAAAAGGATAATTAAAAGTGTTCCAAAATAAGATCATAAATAACAGAAAACGATCGTTTAAATTGGTTATTAATGTCTTTTTTGTAAATATTGGTCAACCAAATCAACTAGGTTAATCAAATCATACGTCTTCATTTATTAATTAATTAATTTAATGACTATAAACTCACTTTTAGTATAAACTGACATAAACATAATCTATATGATAGGCCTGTATTATTTCTTGTCTATAAGCTTTCATTTTCAATATACTTTGTAAGTACGATGGGCAGTATACTGGTACGATATACAATATACAAGTACGATGTGCACGACGTGCAGTATACAAGTACGATGTGCATGACGTGCAGTATACAAGTACGATATGCATGACGTGCAGTATACAAGTACGATGTGCATGACGTGCAGTATACAAGTACGATATGCATGACGTGCAGTATACAAGTACGATGTGCACGACGTGCAGTATACAAGTACGATGTGCATGACGTGCAGTATACAAGTACGATGTGCACGACGTGCAGTATACAAGTACGATGTGCATGACGTGCAGTATACAAGTACGATGTGCATGACGTGCAGTATACAAGTACGATGTGCACGACGTGCAGTATACAAGTACGATGTGCATGACGTGCAGTATACAAGTACGATGTGCATGACGTTCAGTATACAAGTACGATGTGCATGACGTGCAGTATACAAGTACGATGTGCACGACGTGCAGTATACAAGTACGATGTGCATGACGTGCAGTATACAAGTACGATGTGCATGACGTGCAGTATACAAGTACGATGTGCATGACGTTCAGTATACAAGTACGATGTGCATGACGTGCAGTATACAAGTACGATGTGCACAACGTGCAGTATACAAGTACGATGTGCACGACGTGCAGTATACAAGTACGATGTGCACGACGTGCAGTATACAAGTACGATGTGCAATAAACAGGTACGGGGCATAGTATACAAATAAACATGTTTTTCATGGCTTAATGTAACGAATGCCTCTCAACCAATATCATGTAAAAGCATTTACCGGTATGCATATAAGAAAACATTCCTTTCATTATATTTTGTCAAACTTGGCCTACATTTTTTGTATTAGTATTTTCACAGTAAAACGGAACAAGACTAGGCCATATTTAAGAATTTGTCACCACATTCAATGGTGAAGTCACATGTTTTCACAAACATTTACGTCAATGATTTACAAAATGGCAAAACATTCATTGTCAGATTTTAAGTTATTTTATTTAGATTCTATTCGATTCTACATTGCTTATTATGTATTTTTTGACTATTTGACATGTATAAACATACGTACACTATTATAATATTATGATAACTGCATTCATGTGGGTACCTCCTTCTCATTTGTTTAAAAATGTTCAAATTATTTTTTCCTGTTAAAATGTACAGTTATTTAACAAATTATATATGTTTTATACCTAAATATTCATGTTGAACACCCAGATAATAAGTTTAACACCCTCTCTGTTACATAGGTTGCTCAATAACTGCTATAAAGTATTTTTTTCAACTTTATATCATGTATGTATATGAACCTCCTTGTTAATTTATACAACGTTAACGTATATAGCGTTTACAACGTTAACGTATATGTATTACAACGTTTACGTTTGTAAATGTATGCATAGCAAAGTTAATTTTTTTATTTGTTTGGGTATGCAAATTTTATTGTTATTTATAATGTATTTTTAATTTATACAATGTTAACATATACTCATGAATTACAACATTGATTTAGATATTTCAACGTTATGGTATATGCTGTAACGTATGTTACATGTTATATTAGTTAACAGTTACATGGCTTTGCATGCTGCAAAGGTTATATAATGAACAGTCGTTTATACACGGTCATATAACTTTTGCAACGCTTTTATGATAGTGCACATTTCATCTGTGCAGATTTAAATATAATTGATTTGTAAATTTGCAGCAGTGTGGAATATTGATAATGTAAACGTCACGTGACTGAGTGGTCTATCACGTGACTGAGTGGTCTATCGCCGCTGTGAGTTCGAGTCTCATCAGGGACTTTGAATTATGTGAGAAAGCTATACAACTGTATTAGAAAAAGCGGACGGTTGCCCACATGTGCCTGAAACAATTGAGCTCTTAAACTATCGGTAAGGTTGCCTGAAGTCTTCCTTCACCAGTAAAGCTGCACATTCGCCATGCAATCTTGATAAACCAACATAATAATGTAATATATGAATATATAGTCTGGATGGACTATTCAAAATCGATGTTAAAAACGTGCAGTATTGTAATTCAACTATTATTATTATAATTAACATAATTTGTTAAAATGTTTAGATGATTCATATATTACAACGTTAACGCATATTATTTACAACGTTAACAAAATATATCATAACGTTCAAGCCAGTCGTAATGTCCTTTTCCCTGTCAAGTGCTCGTTGATAAGATTAATAGTATAATTCTTCTATTTTTTCAGTGCTTTAAGCACTTTATGTAGAGAATAAAGTATATGCATGTTTAAATTATGTGGTTTTTTATTTCTTATTTTACACCTTGTGATATATCTTTTTATAAATTTACAGGAAACAAAAATCGTTTGCATTTTTATTAAGGGAAAACTATATACCCTCCAAGTGGCACATAGAACACACAGCAGTGTGACAAACTAGTCGAGCAGAACGACCAGCTTGTGGCCAAGGACCACAATTATTTTCTATTATTACCTGATACCTTATATAAATGTAATTTGTTATTATTTACTGTTTTCTGAAATTCTAAAAACGTCAACGTTCGCGAACTGTTGACCGGTCAATAGTTTCGACTGTTTCCCTCTCGTGCTCTGACGTCATTGACGTCATAAAGGATTCCCACTTGAAGCGTCCATCGATCTTGATCATGAACCAGACGTGACGTGACATAGTTAAAATATTAAGTTTAATTATTAACATATGCGCAAAACGATTTTCTTGTTCATTTTTTCTTCTGCAAATACTGTTAAAGCAGTAGTTGATCAGGTAATAAAACAGTTATTTCATGCGTGATTTGGGAACAGTCAAACAGTTGTCCCTCGGTGTCGGGGATAGTGTTTTGATTTGTTGCCCTCGGCCTACAGCCTTGGGCAACAGTTCAAAACACTACCCCCTCCACCTCGGGCCAACAGTTTGACTGTTCCAAATCACATATGAAATAACTGTTTTATTACCTGATCAACTAACTGTATACTATAATATGCCCTATATAGACAGTGAAATAACAATTTTCTAAATGTGCATGCAAAAATCGTACACCAATCAGCTTTGTAAAACAAGTTGAGAGACAAGTTCTGTGCACTGTAAAGGAAGGGTTGATAGGCATTTTTTTCTTCATAATGTTTACCTAAATTAAATGCGTATGTAGAAAAACTGTCAGGATGCTCGTAAATAGGCAAAACACCCCTGTCAAAAATGATCACTGTTCATGTGCGTTATTCAACTTGCATCAAAATTCACATTTAACATTCATTTCACATCTCCGCTCTAGAATTATGCTTTTGGGTTTTCATTAATTTTTTTTTATAAATGTTTCAACATTAAACATAAGCACAAGTTCCCATGTAACTTCTTCCGCAACCAAGGGCAAATAATTGTGACATTGTGCCTTATAGACAGCATGTGGTATCCCGAAAAGGACTACACCCCGAAAAAGGATTACACCCCGAAAAGGGACTACATCCCGAAAAGGACTACATTCCGAAAAAGGATTACACCCCGAAAAAGGACTACATCCCGAAAAAGGACTACACCCCGAAAAAGGACTACACCCCGAAAAAAGGACTACACCCCGAAAAAGGACTACATCACAAACAGGACAATCATGGTCCAGGGTGTTCGATTCCGATTCAGCCATTGATATACATGGTTCTTGTTACGATGAATTAAAGAACCGCCACATTATAACTTCCTTCCAAGATAAATCATAATTTGATTGTATGATGAAATATGGGTTATATCTATAAAAGTCAACATGACATGTTGTACATTTTATCATGTTCGATAAATCATTAATTAACTGATGCATTATTTCGACTGTTATTGTACACAAGTAATGATTTATACTAACTAAAGGGAGACGAGTTCGTTCATACAAAAAAATATCATCATGAATGTCAAGCTATGTCGTAATTAATAGTTTCAATAATACAAATGATTGACAAGAGAAAGACGTGTTTTCTATTCATCAAAAGATCGTTCAATTACGGCACATTTCGACTCTTTCCGTGTCATTACAATATTAAATAAGCGTCCGCTTTCTCGAGAGCAAAGCAAATCTTAGTGATGAAACGCTTATTATACAAATATTAGACTCGGAAAGTGACGAAGTTTGTCGGATTTATACGAGCTTTTGCTTGACCTAAAATGTCATGGAGCATGAATAGGATATCGAATACGAACAAATAGATACCCGAAAACAAACCAATAGATTAAGGTCCAATAATGCATTTAAAAGTACACTACCGAAAAGGCAAGAATGATAATTGAATATTAAATCGTTTTGACGATTTAGTCCATTTAGTACATATTTTGTATCAAGCACTGTACCATCTCTATCTTTGGTGGCGTTATTGGGCCATGTTCAGTGGCTGTGCGAGAATGCGACGACGACGATAGTTACACGCCTTCCCGTCAACACGAAAACCTTTGAGACGCTCGACAAATTTATATAAAATGTTTTATTTACCATGTAAAAAATTGCATTAAGTAAAACATCCATGATCAAATTGATTTGTTCTTAACCAACAAGTACCATCCAGTTCAAATACATTCGTAGCTGGAATTCAATTATTTTATATGTTTATTACGAAACGCATGTGCGCTTACGAAAGTGCACACTTATAAAATCTGTAAATGCATTACCTTGTTTTATTTGACATAAACATTTATTCAAATAATTCAAATACATAGAGGGGTATAGTAACCATGGACACGACAGCTCATCTTCAAAAACAGTTGTAATGAAATCATCATAACTTTTCCCCCGAAATTTGTTTTCATAACTTCCTGACAAATTCAATAGATAAAATTTTTTACAACATATCTGATTAAAATAATGTAATGCTATACAAAGCACAGATTGTTATAGATACGGAAGCCCATTTTGAAAAAATTTGTAATGAACACCTTCTAACTTTCAACTCTAAAAGTAAAATCATTTAATTACTACTTTAAAACTTAATTGATAAATTTTACATTCCTTCTGGTTAAAATCATTTTGCCAAAAAACTTGAGTGTTTATACAGATCGTGCGTTAATTTATATTTTAAGCGAAGAAATGACAAATGCGGCTCCTATGTTAATTTCGAACTTTGTAAAAAAGTCATTTTTTCACGTATATACAGAGTAACACTTGAATTACCATAATGACCTCCGCTCATTTATAATTTAATTAAAGTAAGCATTGAAGCTTATCATCAAATTATACTGAAACCTTTGACTATATTTCTGTATTTGAATTAATTTATGAAATGAAATGCTTGCTTTAATATGCATAAAACGGATTTCGATCGTTCTCATACTGAATATGCATGGGAATACATTATACCTTTTCTGAAACCGCACGTGAAATAGATTATGTTTTCCCTTACTTACATAAAACCAACAAAAGCTATGTTTAACACACATGGAATATGTTCTGTAACTTTTGTTTCTTTTTACATTGCAGCAAGCTCCCTCCCCATCGTTAACGCCATGGAACATGCATTTGTCATTTCTAAAGTTACATAGACTATCAAATCTTCTGTAAACTCACATGGATAATACCAAGCTCCTGTAAATTTACATAGACGATACCAAACTCCTGTAAACTTACATAGACGATACCAAACTCCTGTAAACTTACATAGACGATACCAAACTCCTGTAAACTACCATAGACGATACCAAGCTCCTGTAAACTACCATAGATGATACCAAACTCCTGTAAACTACCATAGATGATACCAAACTCCTGTAAACTTACATAGACGATACCAAACTCCTGTAAACTACCATAGACGATATCAAACTCCTGTAAACTTACATAGACGATATCAAACTCCTGCAAACTAAGAAAGACGATACCAAACTTGTGTCAACTTACTTTGACGATACCAAACTCCTGTTAACTTACATAGTCGATACCAAACTCCTGTAAACTTACATAGTCGATAACAAACTCCTGTAAACTTACATAGACGATACCAAACTCCTTTAAACTTACATAGACGATATCAAACTCCTGCAAACTAAGAAAGACGATACCAAACTTGTGTCAACTTACTTTGACGATACCAAACTCCTGTTAACTTACATAGTCGATACCAAACTCCTGTAAACTTACATAGTCGATAACAAACTCCTGTAAACTACCATAGATGATACCAAGCTCCTGTAAACTATCATAGACGACACCAAACGCTTGTTTACCCATAATGTCGATAACAATTCCTGTAAACTTACATAGACGATCCCAGTCTTCTGTAAACTACTATAGAACTAAACTCGATACCAAGTTTCTATTACCTTACAAGCAAAGAAAGAAAGAAAGAAAGAAAGAAAGAAAGAAAGAAAAGAAAGAAAGAAAGAAAGAAAAAAAGAATGAAAGAAAGAAAGAAAGAAAGAAAGAAGGAAAGAAAGAAAGAAAGAAAGAAAGATAAGAATCGGCTTATATCCGTCGCAATTGCCCCGGGGTCAGGAGGCCAGGGTTAAAACTGACTGATTGTACTTAAATCTCTAAAGAGCTCACCATCTTGTTATGATTAATGTTCGAGTGTTTTTGTGTTATCTTTTGCATGTCGTGTGAATTTGACAGCCAATATGAAATGTAAATGAGGCGTGCGATGTGGATAAATAAATTAAATAGTCGGATAATGCTACTGATGTGGAGATGGTTTTCGGTAGCACGTAGATAAAAAAAAAAACGTGGTATAATTTCACACCCGGCTACATAAATCATTCTTGAAAGCGAATTTTCGCTAAAAATTGCTATATTATTATGCTAATTATATATAAGACGCTTTAAAGTACGTAATGTCATATTTTATGACCGGTGTTAAGACATTCCTTAACGGCAGAAAGAGAGTTGAATGTGTCACATATATTACAATATAATATTACAGTGTTGTGAAATAAACGTTCTACACAAGGAAGAGCTATTGAAATAAAGTCATTTGATATCTGATTCATAACTGATTATATTTCATGTATAAATAATTAAACAACTAAAAACGAACGAACAAACAAAAAAAAGTTGATGTTGTTGCTCCTGCTACTGCTGATAATGATGTTGTTGATAATGATGATGATGATGATGATGATGATAATGACGATTATAATGATAATGCTGATGATAATGATGATGATGACAACGACGACGATGATGATGATGATGATGATAATGATGATGATGATGATGACGACGACGACGACGACGACGATGATGATGATGATGATAATAATAATAATAATAATGATGATGATGATGATGATGATGATGATAATAATGATGGTAATGATGATGAGGATGTTGTTGTTGTTGCTGTTGTTGTTTTTGATGGAGATGATGATGATGACGATGATGTTGTTGTTGTTGTTATTTTTGTTGTTGAAGATAATGATCATGATTATTAGGATCCTCACAACAACAAAGGGCGACAAATTGTTATGGATTTGTTACATGCATGCTTACGCCCCTTCTTAACAGCGGCGTTCAAGATATTTATCACGATATTAGTATAAATCAGTATCTACTTTATTAAATTTTAAGTCATACTTACATTGTTTAGGTCAAATGAACTTTTTAAACTAATGTCAAATGTGAGATTTATCTAGCCGATAATAAATTTGATAACTTAAACATTTAAAAGTTTATAAGTAAAGTACACGAGATGTACTATCTCGATACATGTATATCACAACACGACTTCACCATACATTCATCCTAAATTTTTAATATACTTTGATTCGTCATTAAGACTATACTTATATATAGATCATATATTTATTTTGTGAGAAATCAGCAAAATTCCTGTATAAAGTTGAAATGATATTGTTTAAAATTACGTGTTTCTAAATACGGACATTATTTACATTATGATTATTATTAGTATTTATGTTTACATATATTCCTATGATGATACCAGTTACAATAAGTAGATAATTATTCATGTTCCGGAAAAATGAAAGAAAAATCACATGATATGGAAAACCCATGCATTTTATAGATGATTTGTTCGTATGACGTGGATGTGGTAATAATCCCTAAAACATGCAATGAATGAAGATTCCCATATGAATAAAGGGGCAAGAAAGTAGGGGAACGGAATTTTTTATTTTTATGTTAAATAGTAAAGCTGAGTAAGTCAGAAGTGGAGAGTATACAGTATATAAAAGGGTAAGATAATTTAGTTTGATTTTAACATGAAGTTTTAAAGATTTGCATCACAATTCAATTAATTTTGACTTTAAATAAACTAGATATTATACAAATAGAATAATAAAATAATATATTAACTTTATTTATGTTAAAATTGTACATATACATAAAGTTTGATGAATTGTAAATAATATTAATATAAATTTAATTAAATTACGACACGTTGCAATGGAAAGTAGCAGAACTCTACCGAGATCCAGAAGTCTAATAAAATCTGAAATTCTCACAGTTAAATGTGTTGATCAATTAGGCACTTAAAATTTAAAAAAATGAAGTGATAAATCTGAAATTTTGCATCCAAGGTATTGGTATATGGTACACAAAATTCATTTCCAGTCTCATCATTTCAAAAACCCTAAGTCGGGGTAAACAATAAGTCGTTTTTCACTTCTTCATTTAAACACATTTCCTTCAGTGTTAAAACATTTATCGCACTTTAATAAGTACAGTGTACTTCTGTTTTCTAAATTTCTTTATTTTAGACTTGACCTAGATGAATTATTTTCCTTTAAAATTTTAGAAAATTACATACAGTATATATCCTTTAGAGAAATTTGTTAATAACCTTCGATAATCTTTTCTTATTATTTAAACCGCTCCAGATTGATCATGGCAGAGATAAAGTTTACCAAGAGTACAGAAGAAGTTTCATTGATAAATGCCGATGATCAGGTAATATATATATAGAATATTCAGGTTTTTTTTCTATAAATGCGCGATTTATTTTCATACCCTCTGATCATGGCCCAAACTGCTCGCTATCCAGTCCGTCCATATTCTGACATTATTCCTAAAATGATTGGTCTGTATATATTCCAAGATACAAAAGTCAAATAAAGATATTTAGCGTGGTAAGGGTTTATCCAATACTGCCGTACTTTATTAGACAGATTATGAAATTTCAATAATGAGTTTTAAACGCGATGCTCTTTTTTTCGTGTTTAGTCACAGACACTCGCAGGAGGGGTGAGGGAGGGGGTGGCGACGTTGACCCCACCTTGCCTCGCCTGTATCGACTCTTGTATCATTGTAACACGAATGTACATTGTAGCATCTGTCTCAAATATAAAACATGTTTAAATATGTTTAAATTTCTACATGAATTTGAAAAAAAAAACAAGTTTAGATAATACTTTATTGAGACTTGAAAGTAGCTGTATTTTTAAATTCACGTAGAAATTGCCAAGTTATTGATTGGTACAATTGCTCCACACGTGTTTAAATTGTAAAAGTTACTGAAAGTTTACAAGGTCGAGGGAAGGTTGGGTCAGGGTCGGACCCCAGAGTGTCCATGTGTACAGCAATATTTGTTTGTTTCTTTTGCAGCCGATAGAGACGACAACTGGCCTAAATGTGTTCACAACATGTTTGTTTATTGTTGGAGTCATTGCTGGATCCGGGTTTTTGACGTTACCAAAGGCTATAGATGATTCAGGTTGATTTATGAGTATATTCGATTTTCTTCATAACATAAATATATTTATAAAACTTAATTTCATCATCATCATCATCATCATCATCATCATCATCATCATCATCATCATCATCATCATTATTATGAATATTATTATTATTATTATTATTTTATTATCATTATTATTATTATTATTATTATTATTATTATTATTATTATTATTATTATTATTATTATTATTATTATTATTATTATTATTATTATTATTATTATTATTATTATTATTATTATTATTATTATTATCATTATTATTATTAGAGCTGTAAATGGAATAACTCCTTAATGACAGGAAACTGGTATGCTCGAAAGTTTTTATATAATATGATAATTGTGATATACAACATTAACTATACATATATACTTATCCTTTATCATTAACATTTATTATATTTCAATTTTGAAAAAAAAGTCAGCAAAACAAAACTTCGTTAATACAACAAAAAGGAAAAATATTTCGTAAATACAATAATGAACAATACATTGGAAATACTCAACTTTAAAAAAAAAAAAAATTCACAACACGCATGTGTACACTTAAGTCACATGTCATTATGCTCATTGTTCAAATATTTGATATAACGGAAAACAAAACACGCGAATGTGAAAGATGATTATAGAAATAATTCTTTGAAAATGAAACAACCGATTAAGGCTAAATTACGAAATGGGAAAAGTTGCAGATAAGTTAAAATGAAAGGAGTGGTAACTTTATTTAAAAATATTACATGAGTGACATTGTTTATAAATATACACAAACCAATGATGACACAAATCATACTTTGCCTAATCATAATTCTTAATTTAGTAAATATTATTTTGAATAATTAATCACGTGTTAAATCTTTAACAACATATCGCAAGAATCGTCAATATAACTTATTTGAGTATATTTTATCGTATATCATGCATTTTGAAGGGAAGTTTGCCGAATCTTAACGAATCATAGTTCCTATCTCATATGTTGCATTTTCTACCACATTCTGTGCGGTAAATATTATATCATATCAGATATCATGTCTTATTTAATCATCATCATCGTCATCATCATCGTCATCATCATCATCATCATCATAACTATTATCATCATAATCATCATTATTATTATTATCATCATCATTATCATTATTACCATTATTATTATTATTATTATCATTATCATTATTATTATTATTATTATTATTATTATTATTATCATTATTATTATTATTATTATCATTATTATTATTATCATTATTATTATTATTATTATTATTATTATTATTATTATCCAAAACGTAATGACATACGCTAAAATTTTTATCTCATGCCGCACATTGATATTTCCTTTCTCATATGAACTATTTTCTATGAACTATTTTCTATCTCATACCAAACAGAAATGAATATTTTTTTCTCCCTTTTTATGCTGGATAAGTATTAACAATGGATTTAAAGCATTATGGATGAAAGATAATAGAGCTGAATGTGACATGAATTGTCATAAAGGTAACAAAACGCAATAACAGTGGTACTTCGGCTGACAAACAAAACACTAAATCACTATACATTTTACTTATTGCCAAAAAAGGAAAAGAAACAAACGATAGTTTATCTATGCAGCAAATGAGTACCATATTGATTCAGAAATAATATAATTGTAACAGATAAAGAGATAAAAAGTTTTGAGAAAATGTAATGAAAATACTAACGTTATTGTACATGTAGTTTCTATTCCGAACGCTCTCATTAAGCCGTCCGGTTAGCTGAGTAGATAGAGCGTTGAGCGACCCAGGTTTGATTCCCGAACGGTGCAGGTCACCAACTACTTGTGATCATGAAATCCTTTCTACGGTCATTCACACTGTACCTCTGCTCTGGCATGTAAAGAAGCTACAGTTTGAATAGTAAAAGTAAACTGCTTGACAACCTGCCCAGGAACTGTGGCTAAACTGTGCTTTGGTGAATTCAATGTGCCGCACTGCCGTGGCCCGGAGTTAGGCTACCAATACAACCACCAACGTTTCATTATAACGTATTTTTTCCTTTTATAGGATGGATTGGATTTGTGTTGATATTATTTTGTTGTTTTGTGTCTGCCTATACCGGCGATATTCTTGGTAAATGCTGGATTATGGTGGTTAATAGACACCCAGAATTTGATAAAGCTAAACTACGGTACCCATACCCTACCATAGGGCAAGAGGCATTTGGTAAATGGGGCAGGTAAATATGCAATTTCCAAGATATAATTTTAAATTAATAATTAACATTGCATATTGGTTATCAGCATGCATTGGGAGTTTGGAAAATTCGTACTTACTTGAAGAAATAAATGAATTGAATTGATTAGTTTTAACCAAGAAATACAGTAGTTATTCACAGTATGTTGTTGGATTTCCAAATAATCTACACAGTGAAATGTTAATGCGAATTTTGATTGTTTTGAGAAAAAAAATGATGTTACCAAAAATACAACTAATAAGGCTCTCATGCTATCACTGGTGAATTACTCGGTATACTGTTGGGGTATATCACTGAGATAGCAACCAAATTGTTGTAACATTTTGTTTTTGAACTGGGAGATCAGCCACGTAATTCCAAGGTGCTTGAGAAAAATATTAGATAGAAATACATTTATATGGGAATATGACATGGAAAAACGCAAAAGTTATATCATCTTTACAGACAAATTCACTAAGACATCTTCTGCGAACTTACAAATCGAAGTATGAAATGATTCAAATTTCTGTATGCGCAAAAATAGGATTAAACACAGATTAATTTTCGGTTTTTAATTACTTTATGACATATATCAAAAAGATAACATGTCGTAATATACGAATTAGTTCTTTTACAATTAGGCCTTTTGGATATATTTGCGAACGCGTATGCTGCTTTGTTTATTACTTTTTTCTATTACAGATTTGTGGTATCGTTTTCAATCAATTTTACTCAGTTTGGTGGGACCGTTGTCTATATTTTACTCGCCGCTGAGAACATTGTGACACTCCTGCCATCCGACACTAAGATCACGTGCTGCTACATCGCGCTGATTGTAGGCGCCGCCATGACACCATTCACGTGGCTTGGAACGCCCAAGGACTTTTGGTAAGATCCATATTAATGAGATAAATGCTTTTTTGTAGTTTCAGAAGTTAAACTATGGAATATTTGTGGAAAGGAATCATTTCAAATTTCTTGTTAAACATTGTCTAAAAAAGAACATTAAATATCTAAAAGGAACTAAGTAAGAAAACGAGGGAGGGACAGCAAAAGACACATACATAGCACGCACACAAATAAAAAAAACTTTTTCATTTCAGGGGAATAGCAGCCGCTGCCACATTAGCCACGTCTATAGCAAGTGTTATCCTGTTTGCAGCTGTCCTTTACAACGGAAGAGAGGTTGATATCTCAGAGGTGACGCACACTAAAGTTGACGTCATAACATTTTTTACAGCATATGGAACTATATGTTTTGCGTTTAATGGACATCCGGCATTTCCTACATTTCAATCGGATATGGCAAATCCGAGGAAATTTGGAAGAGCTTTGATATTAGGATATCTTAGTAAGTATTTGAAATTATAATAGATTATTGCCGCCATTCATGCACGGCAACATACGAGGGGTTAACTTATCCAAAAATTGGTAAACTTTTTAAACATCTCGTGTAGAATGAACAAGATTTCGCCATCTTTAACCATACACCACCTGTTCTAAACTAATCAGAATGGAGAATTTAATACCACGTGGTCACAAAATACCTCAAAAAGGGGCTCCTGTGGGGCACGCCATCCGCCATGTTGTGTCGGATTACCTATATACGAGGTATGATCAAAAAGTTCTCGGCCCGATATACTTCTAGCCACTACACTGACACTTACACACGATACGTCGATACCGATATCTAATTTAAGATTACTGACCGAGTTACACTCGGTTTTACACAGATTAAGTAACATAAAATAGATAAATACAGAATCCCTATAGAAAGCCCGACACGGCAAAATTGAAAATGTTGCAGGCTCGGTTTGATTGAGCCTGTTCATGGACGGTACTGAAAAGTGCAAGTTACCGTCCACGCCCCCTAGCACCGGCTTAAGCAGAATTCAACATTTAAACATGAAATAGTAAAATTTTGAATTTAGAAACATCCGCAGATGTGTTCATACGGCGGTTATCATGGAACCTTCAATGTGACACTTCCGTGCCATTCAATAAAACACACTTTTATCAGTAGAGGGATGTGTCATTTAGACCAAATGGAGAAAGTTGAAATCAGAGCCGTCATTAAGTACATGTACCTCAGTATGAAACGAATGTCACACACGGAAATCCATGAAGACTTCATTGATACAATTGGGAAGGAGTCCCCTTCCTATAGCACTCTGAAAAAATGGGCTGCTGAATTTAAGACGGGCAGGGCTGGCATTGGAGATGATGAGCTGCCTGGGCGGCCAAAAGAGTCCACCAACTATGAAACTGCCGAAGCTGTGCACGATCTGGTCATGTGCGACAGAAGGCGAGACATGCAAAGCATTGCTTGAGAAGTGAGTATAAGCTTTGGTTCAGTTCAGGCAATTCTGACTGATGTCTATGGCATATCAAAGGTTTCCGCTGGATGGGTTCCCAGACTGACGACCAGAGGACTAGGTTTGACATTTCAAGATATCTATTGTCCCGCTATGGGGATGAACCTGATTTTATCTACCGGATCGTAAGTCAGGATGAAACATTGGTCCATCACTTCGATCCATAATAAAAAAAACAACAGAGCATACAGTGGAAGCACCCTGGCTCACCCCCACCGAAGAAATTCAAGAGGATGCCATCATCAGGGAAGATGATGGCTTCAATTTTTTGGGATAGTCAGGGGATAATCATGATTGACTACCTTGAGCGATGTCGTACCATTAACGGTACGTACTATGCAGACGAGTTGAGACGTCTGCGTCAAGAAATCGCGCGTAAATGGAGGGGCAAACTGACTCGTGGAGTTCTGCCCCTGAACGACAATGCGCTAGCTCACACATCCCAAGTTGCGATGGCTGCTGCAACTGACTGCGGCTTTGAAATTCTTCTCAATCCTCCATAATCTCTTGACTTGGCCTCCTCTGACTTCTACCGGTTTCCGAAACTGAAAACTAAGCTTCGTGATAGACGTTTTGGAAGCAATGAAGGTGTCATTGAGGCGATCAGTGAGTTCTTTGAGGACCAAAATAGAGAGTTCTATATAGAAGGGTTAAACAAGTTGGAGCACAGGTGGGCAAAGTGCATTGATGTAGAGGGCGATTACTAGTATATTGAAAAGTAAAACCATTAGTCTGGTTCTCTGTCTACCGGAAGTACATTTGGCAAAGAAATTTTTGATCAATCGTCGTATAAAATTGAAATACGATCTTCATCTTACTATGCGCAAAAGTGGGAAGCAGTGTTAACAATATTCGGAATAGTTCTCTTCAGTGAAGCAATAACGAAAATAGAAAATCGAATATCCGGCTGCGCGGCAATTCCTTGCATTTTTGGAATTTGTAATGCTTGCAGGATTACTATATCTAAATAAGATAATAAAGATTATTATTAATTATAAACTATTCACGAGAATCATCGGAACTGCATCATAAAAATAATCTTTGAAAATAACTAAGTCTACCGATTCTGTATCGACATAACATTGGAGTGTATTTGAATCAGGTGTATCTAAATTTTATTGCATCATTCTACACTGCAATGATTGCTACATTCATACTCGAGAACTGCTCATGTTATATTTGTTTCAGTTGTACTCTTCATGTACTTGCCATCTTCGGCTGCAGGATATGCCGTGTATGGGTCGCAAGTTCAGCCAAACGTTCTCAATACTATACCAAAAGGGGTTACAAGTACTTTGGTATCTCTTTTAATGACTGCTCACTTGTTATTTGGCATCATAATCGTCATTAATCCAGTGTCTCAGGAGCTCGAACATTTCATCAACATACCTGAACGTAAGTATTATGCATTTAAAAAAAATTCTTCTTCCATATTGTAATTGGGAAACTATGGCAGTTTTATTTCACAAGTAAAGTTAAGTTTACTGGAGACTAAGTCGAGTAACTTCATTGCATTGACTAAAGGAAGCTTGCATTGTGGCAAGACCAGCGATTCGTACTGAATGATATATTGTTATGAAAGGCATAACACAGTGTTTTTTTGGTTTTTTTTTAAATGAAATATGTAGTGCTTGGCATCACGAGTATTTATTGTATGTGTAGCAAATATTGCTTGAAACTCACCTATCTGTGAAAACGACGTGAAAACTCCCCTCTCTATAGGTAAATGTACTGTTTCCCCCAAAAAACTGACCCCCCCCCAAAAAAAAAGAAAAGAAAAAGAGAGTGGGTCTTGTCTAACTCTAATAAAACGCGTAATTGATCGTTTTGCATGAAAACATGTTGCTAAGGTTAAATCATTTTTATTTCTTTCATCATTTTTAGAAAACTAAAATTATATTTAACGCGTTTGTATTTAATTCCATCTTCAGATTTTACATGGAAGCGAGTTTTAGCCCGCACTATAACTATGGCATCAGCGTTGTTTGTCGTTGCTTCAGTGCCACATTTCTCTTCTATACTATCACTAGTTGGTGGTTCAACAATTTCAATATTAGCATTTATCTGCCCCTGTTTATTCTACCTCAAATTATGCAGAGGAGACAAAGATCGAGAACCAGTGTAAGTAAAATTCAATTTTCTATGATTGTGAAAAAGTGGGAAAACAAGGCAATATTTTGTGGAGAGAAGACTGTTTATTTCCTCGTGTTAAAGCGGCCTTTAATTTTTATTTTTTGTTGGAAAAACAATTCTGTGCTGTTTCAAATTAAGTATTTCAGTTATATTACCTAGGAAAAGTACATCATATCACTGTTAAGCATTCTTCAAAAGAGCTATTTAATTAAAGCACGCATTGGCGTCGGCGTTCTTTTCTAAAAATAGAAGATTGGAAAACGAATCGTCCTCTTTACTAATTAACATATAGAAAGCGGACCGGTAGATGGTTTCCTTATTGTTTATGTATTTTATCAACGACAAATTTCATTTTACACCTTCATTCTTTTAATTTAACAATTATAAGAAAACGATTTACTAGTATCTAAAAATAACATGAAGATGAAGTCCGCTTTAAATGGCATTTAGCCGCCATTGTTGCTCTTCTTCAAAGTATTTAAGGGATTTTCCGAACATTTCTTTAAATTGTTCTTTCTAAGACCTTGTTTTGAGTATGTACCAACACTTCATTATGAATTACCAATTGTAGGTTTCATCAATTATATGAGATATATTTGAATAATGAAAATCCTAATTATCACTGCATAACATATACATTTCTATATTTCAATGTACAATACTTACATATATATTTTCTTATTTCCAGACACATTCCTCTACATACGAAAGTGTTATTGTATGAGATTATATTCACCGGTTTTGTAGCCGGAATTGCGGCCACATATTCAGCCATTACAGATTTAGCGGTTAATAAATTCACAGTACCGTGTTACGTCGATCCGAGCCGAGCCTGTTCACAACAAGCAGCCGGATGATAATGATGACCACAGTTTTATTGTTGTTGTTGTTGTTTTTTTAAGAGACCATCAAAAGCTGGATATTTTGAAAAGTCTGTGATAACAGTATCCTATCCAGTATACATATTCCAGTTTTCGGAGGGTCCGGTTTTCAGAGTTTATACAGTATCGTGTATTACAAAACTCAATTAGATTATTATTAAGTTATTTTTTACAAACTTCAATAAAAGACGTTGGCAGAAGACTTTTAAGTTAAGATATAAGTTCAAAATCCGAAAACGACAGGTTGATATAAAAATAGCTTAATAAAACAGCTTACAGCTTTTGGCAAATAAATGTTTTATATATAAATTATGGTTTTGTTTATCCTATATATTTATATGGTGCTATTGCAATATACGTGTATGTATCACATAATGAAAATCTTTGCAGATAACTTTCCTACCTCACTAGTCATTTATATTTATAGTTTTATGGTAGTACAAATTGCATATATTACAAAAACATTGTATAACAGTATTTTGTTGTTGACAAGAACTAGTGAACAGGCTCAATTAAACCGAGTCTGCAATTGTCATATAAATTCATTGTTTTCGAGGGATCACACTCTCATATTGAATAGAGAGTCTTAATTAAATAGAAATATTTATGTAATGTTACAAATGGTTAACATATACATGCATTATATATCCACAATGTCCGTATTAAGATATATTTCTATTATTGAATCTGAATATCATTTTGTTTTTGCTGTTTAAAATCGTTTCGTATTTTCAATAAAGGAATGTATTCATACAATGTACAAACAGGAAAAGTTGCAATTAAACAGACTACAAATTATATCATTATTTGTGAAAATGCTTTTATACATGGAGTTATGCTGTGTATATACATATTTATAACACAATAATGCTATCTGACTTTAACATGCACATGTTTACGCTTTTAAACATGTTAAAAACGACTATTTTTAAATGTTTAGAGTTTGAATGTCTTTTTTTATCATGGATGTTTCGAGCCATAATTTTCTCAATTTGAACATCAATTAGAGCTGGCCTGTAATAAATGTGTTTTTAATTATATATATAAGTTATCTAAACCTACATGAGCTGATAAAATACAATGTATATAATGTATACACATGCATATATCCGATGCTGATACCGATAAAATGCTGATAAACTTAAAACGGTTTATTTGTTTTATACATGCAAATTTGTAGTAATTGTTTGTTTTATTGTGTTATAATTAAAGTCCAGTAAAGAATACATTCCAAGTTTTCATTTGCATATATTTAAATATGAATTTCATTAACGCTAAATCCTGTTGTAACCGGAAGTGATCACCCCTTGCCATACCGAAAGTAATTACCCTATGCCTCAAGTATGGAGACAGTCCACCTTTTCTTCCATGCATTCTGATCGGACTCTAAACTGTTGGCTGACCATGCAAGTTGGAATATTCAATCTTCATTGCCCCTAAAATTGATAATGGACAAAAAAATGAAAACTGGAAATTTAGCACGTCATCGGTTTGTTACTTGTTTAATTTCTAAAATAGATTTTTTCATTAAATTTTTTTTTTTGGAACCGTTCGTAAGCAATTTTATGGTAAGTGCAGGCCGACCAACCTCTATACTGGTGTCAATGGCCTATTACTTTTCAGCTTGGACCGTCTGCATTATAAAACATTGTCGTGGATGTATAATTGTGAATGTAAAATGGCTTATTACAATGCTGATTGTATGTAACATTTCACTTGGTGTAATGATAAAAGATAAACTTTCAACATTCATACTTAGCACTTTGCACTTTGTACTTATTATAAAAATTGTGAAAAGGACATACAGATACGGAAGAATATTTACAATTATTTTGTATATTCAATATAATTTATTCTTCAAAATATAATTCAATACTGGAAAATTTACAATTATAGTAAGAAATATACGACGTGTGTATTTTACTGTATTTCATCGTAATATGTAATTCTTTTTAATTGTACATGGACAAATATCACAAATAAGGAAAGAAGTATATCAATATCATGGATACTGTAAGTTATGGAAGAGACGATGAAGGGATTTCACTTAACACCGTTAAAGAAAAGGTAGGGTTAGGTTAGGGCATAAAAATACAGACAATGTAACTTATATTGTCATAACAATACACATATTTCTCTATTACTCTCATCTATTCTACATTTATTGAGCTTATCATTAAAGGCGAATTATGGCTAAGAAAATTTATTGAGTTCTTTAGAAATGTCAAACATGTGTTTAATAATGTTTTTACAAATGGATTTAGAGTATGCTAGATGTTTAACAGCTGAAGAAAGTAGGGCTGAATGTGCAGAATTGTGTCGAAAAAGCAGCAAAATGTAAACAAAGTAGTTTTTGACTTCCATACAAAATACTAATTCACTATGACACCGAGGCCAGCATGGCAAAAGATAGCAAAGATAGTTCATCTTTATGTAAAAATGAATTGTTTTTGGAAACTGTAACAAGATACCAAAAATATATTTAAAGTTTTTGTGATATAAAAATTATAATATTTCTGAGGCTTTAACCTGTCGCAAAGGCTACTTACTTTCTGTTCTACGGGGCACTAGCCGTGTCCAAGTTGCGTACGAGTCCAATAGAATCAGTATGGTACTCACCAATGTTTTAAATAAAAATGAGGCTAGAAAGAGTACATTATGAATTTGATTTGCATTTTTTTTCGGACTCGAAAACTGAAAACAAAGCTAGATGAAGTACAGTAATCATATGTGTTTGATAGGATTTTTTTTGAAAGCATGGCTAAATTGAATCCAGTAATGATTTTCTATAGAAAAGTCACGTGCTGCAAATAATGCTTATATTGTATAAAGTGTGAAACATATTCTTGTGGATACTTATTAAATGGGTTATCACAGTGCTAAAAAATGAGTTTATTTACATTTCATTTTCAATTACATACACGTTCATCAAATATACTATCAGTTCGTACTTGAAGAAATATACGTCAAACCTCTTTTTTGTATTTTAACTTTGTGACAAATTGTGAAAGAAGTACAATGTAAGTTAAACTATAGTATACGAGACAATAGTAGAGGTCTTCTCTCTATGTATTTCTTCTTCTTCTTGCCGCGATTTTCTTTTTTATATCATCAATGACATCATCATCGTCAGCGTAAACCAGCAATATATTTGTTTAAGTACATGCCGCCTTGCTTGTCATTTTACGGACGTGCGTGTGTCCGTCCGGATCCTTAACGTTGTTTCATAAATAATGTAGTTACATAAAACTGTACATGCACGTTGGTCAGCATTATATTATTGTGCACCTGGGTTTCGCTTGTCGATTTGGTTAGTCATGCCAGAGTAATTGCCCTTGACTTAGTCAAATCGGAAATTGTCAACTTGTGTCACGTGTAGCTTCAACAGTATTTGGACTACAGGCATGCTCATGAAACTTAACATTAATGTACTTGTCACCTGAGGTTTAACTTGTCGAATCCTGAAGTAATGCCAGAGTTAGTGTCCTTCACTTAGTACAAATTGGCAATTTATACTTGTGTCGCATGTAGCCTGAACAGTATTTGAACTAGTGCCATGAAACTTTACATGAATATTAGTCAGCATATGAAGTTGTGTACATTGGGTTTCGCTTGTCGATATCCCGCATTTTTGCCAGAGTTATTGCCCTTTACTTAGTCAAAATCAGCAATTTTCAACTTGTCATGCATATTGTTGAAAATTAACGGTGTTATGCAAAACGGGCTTATTTAAGTAAAAATTAACTCCACACATGTGACATATACGTTGGTATTTTCATTTTTAAGCGTATTTTCAGTAAGTGACAAATACGTTTTGGTCAGCATAGAAAAACTCAATCCGACTGAATATGGCACATTTTATGTTCCATATTCGGCTAAAGAGTGTTCCATATTCGACCGAATATGTCACACGTGTGACAAATTAGAACCGAATATGTCACACGTGTGCCATATTCGGTTCGTGACATATATACGGTCCGACAGAGCAGCACCCAACTTTTCAAAACTGCCCGAAAACATTGAAGGTTTTTTATCGTCTTAACTGGTGCATTCTTAACACTGTTAATAATTACAGGATATTCATATAAGATTAAACGTGATATTTATCTAATCAGTAATATGATTATTATGATTTCCAATGAATATATTCAAAAGAAAGTTTATTTTAATAATAATCATGCTACAAAAAACTCTCTTACTTATTTTAGACGAAGTTCGCATAATCTGGAAATTAAATGAGAAAGATTAAGTATGATTGATCGACAGAATAGGTTTTGTAAATCATGTAATCAAAATGTTATTGAAAGTGAATACCAGTTTTGCTCTGTTTCAGTAAAAACGATAATTTAAGAAGAAAATACTTACAAGGATATGAGTATTTTTTATATATGCAAAGTTAACAAAATAGATGAATTATTGAATTTGATGTTAGTTTTTCAAAAGAGAGCAAAATGTAAAAAAATAACCTTTATATTCAGGTGAATGCAAAAGCAGGCTTATCACCAGGTATGCATACTTTGAGCTATGCTGAAAAATGCCAGAGAACGAGAAAGCATGTTGATGAGAAGATGAAGCTCCCTTCATCTAAGAGACGGCGTTTGGAGCTAAAACAAGAACGGGCAGTTAATCAGGGTGCTCAAGAGGTGTTACAAGGAGTTTCATATCAGTCAGGTTTGTTATATTAAGCTTATATTGTTTTGTGGAAAAAGTAGAATTGTTCTAACCACTTGTTTGCTTTCTCTGTATATTCATGGCAAGTTTCACCAAGGACAGGAGTTATTCATAAACATATATATATAATCAGATTAGCAATCATGTCTTTTTATGAAAGACCATATACTTTATAATTTTGCTTCTTCTAATTTTTGATATTTCCAAATTTCACATTGGGTGCAAGTACCAGAGAATAATTTTTTTTTACTCCATTTATTAAATCAATTTTTTGTAATTTTAAGGGGTTGGTCCTGATTGTGAAGCAGATATCGAAGCAATCCCATCACCTGTCGCTAAAGGTGAATTCAAACCTGTTTATTTGAAACAACCAGCATTCGTGACATTTGATTTGGAAACAACAGACCTCAGTAAGTTTAATTCTTTTCTATTTTTCAACTACGTTAGATTTTGGAATTTGTAAAACAAGTTTTGTGCATCCAGAAATAAATTTCTTTATTCAGGTTTGTTTTTGTGATTTACATAATCTTTACATAAAAGGGGTGTACTTTCACTAATTACAACATGTTCATTTATACCAAAACTAAAGTTTGGCAATGACATGCTTTGACCGAAGATTAAGCCCTTGTTTGTTACATGAAAGATCAATACCACACATGCTTCACTTGGTTACATATAATTAGTACATAATTAAACAATTTTCAGTGCGAGGACAACACTTACCACAGATTACTCAGATAGCTGCGACCGATCTTAATGGAAGCCGTAAATTTTCCCAGTATGTATTACCAACGGTACAGATCGCACCTGGGGCTCGGCAGGTCACAGGTCTTACTGTTAGAGGAGGTATTCTTCTCCGTAAAGGCCAGCCAGTGGAGGCAACGGACATCAAAACTGCTTTGGAGCGGTTTTGTGCCTGGCTGAATAAAATGCATAACACTGTGTTAATAGCTCATAATGGAAGGAAATTTGATTTCCCTATACTTGTGCATCATTTGAAATCTACTGGTACATATGACAAATTCACAGAGTTCTGTAAAGGTTTTGTTGACTCATTAGAAGTTTTTAGAAAAGTTTTGCCGGACAGAGAATCCTATAAGCAGGTGGACCTAGTGAATGAAATAATGAACACTGCATATGGTGCCCATGATGCCGTTGAAGATGCAGTTGCTTTAGGCAAATTAGTGAAATATTTGGAAATTCAGCCCAATAACGTATTGAATCACAGTTTTAGTGTAAACTCGATATACAATAATATGTCATAACAGGGAATATGCAAAAAACCTTACAACACTGTCCGTATTTAGTATATAGTCCGTATATAGCCAAGTGTGTAAAGCACCTACTGCTGAAAACATCGCCGGGTCAGGGTTGCAGCTACGGCATTTAGAACTTATTTACATGGTGAAGATGGCTTAATCATGGTGAAGATGGCTTGATAAACATCTTTATCATAAAAAAAACTGTGGTTAAAAACCACGTGTAACTAGTGTTAAACGCATTCTTGAATCTGTTATTCCAAAATTAGTAGAGTTTTTTTTCAAAAGAAATGAACTTGATAAGTTCCAATATGTAATTGCTATTGATATTATTTTGACCCTGAAAATTTAATAAGGCTAAATTCAGTGCTAAGGTTTGATTCATTTTTTTTTTGTAATTGAAACATCACATGATATAAATGCTGGTGATTCATTGATTACATTTTATAAACTGTTACATAAATGTGTTTATGATAAGATGTGATTTGATTTTCATGTGAAATAGCCATTATATATTTATATGCTACTCAATTATATCATAGTTTGACTATTTTTGCTTAAATATTTCATAAGAAAAATGTGAACTCATAGTCACATTAACATCAAATTAAGTTTATTTTTTCAAAGTCAATGTGCTTAGTCATTAGTAATAAAAGAATCTAACGCAACATGAAATATGATATTAAAACATTAACTTATCTAAGAAAAGATTTTAGGCTGGTTTTATAGAAAACTTCTTAAACTTATTGTAGAATATTGATGTTATATGACATTTCTTGTGAGATCCTATATACAAAATTTATTAATGACTTACATGTTTTGTATATTTTTGAAGCAGATTTTTTAATGTAATAAGAGTTAAAAAGACAGTTTAATGTATTTACCTAAAATGCACAGTTTTTGCTGATGATCATGTCCGATTAAGGCTTCGAACCAATACTTCATGTGCATAATGTAAACATTGCGGCTTATGGTTTCATTGATCTTAAATGTTACTTCATTTTATTATCAATTGGTCTTATTTAATAATTTTTAATGAGTCTAAAACAGAAATATTAATGTAATGTTACAAATGGTAAACATGTACATTCATTTTTATCCACTCTGTCCATATTAAAGTATATCCAAATTATTGAATCTGAATATCATTTTGTTTTTGCTGTTAAAATCGTTTCGTATTTTCAATAAAGGAATGTATTCATAAAATGTACAAACAGGAAAATTTGTATTAAATAGACTACAAATTATATCATCATTTATGAAAATGCTTTATACATGGAGTTATGCTGTGTACATACATATGTATAACAAAATAATGCTATTTGAAAATGGGTGTTCTTTTACAAGCATGTGTTAACGGTTAACGCTACATGTTAAAAACGACTGTTTTTTGGACTGTTTAGAGTTTAAATGTCTTTTTTATCATTGATGATTCGTGCCATATTTTTCTCAATTTGAACATCAATTAGAGCTGTCCTGTCTTAAATATGTTTTTAAAATCCTACATGAGATAATAAAATACAATGTATATAGTACATGCATATATCCGATGTTGTAACCGATAAAATTATGATAAACTTAAACGGTTTATTTGTTTTATACATGCAAATTTGTAGTAATTGTTTGTTTTATTGATAACAAACTAAACAGTAAAGAATACATTCCTAGTTTTCATTTGCATGTTAAAAAAGATCAATATTTCCATATGAATTTCATTAACGCTAAGTGATCACTCCTTGCCATACCGAAAGTAATTACCCTATGCCAGACCGAAAGTAATTACACTTTGCCACACCGAAAGTAATTACCCTTTGCCCGACCGAAAGTCATTACCCCTTGCCAGGCCGAAAGTAATTAACCTATGCCACACCGAAAGTAATTACCCTTTGCCACACCGAAAGTAATTACCCTATGCCACACTGGAAGTAGTTACCATTTGCCACACCGAAAGTAATTTCCCTTGCCACAATGAAAGTAATTACCCTTTGCCTCAAGTATAGTCAGTCCACCTTTCTTCCTTGCTGTCTGATCGGGCTCTAAACTGTTGGCTGACCATGCAAGTTTGAATATTCAATCTTCATTGCCCCCAAAATTGATAATGGACAAAAAATGAAAATTGGAAATTTAGCACGTCATCGGTTAGTTACCTGCTAAACTTCTTTAATAGATTTTTTCTTTTTGATTTTTTTTTTTTTGGAACCGTTCGTAAGCAATTTTATGGGATATCAAGATGAGACTTTAAAGTTGACCAGTATTAAGACTCGAGTCTGGTCAGTGTAGGCCGGCCAAGCTCTATGCTGGTGTCAAAGGCGTATTACTTTACAGCGGCCTTTTTGTAGTTTGGACCGTCTACATTATAATACATTGTTGTGAATACTGTAAAATGGTTTATTACAATGCTGGTTGTATCATTTCACTTAGCCTGGGTTCCAGACTGTCAATTTTTTATGTGCTTCTGTTCGGCAAATCGACATTGTTGATACTATCAAAACCAGAGCTGTTGTGTTATCTATGACGATCGAGTATGAAATAGCGCGTAAGTTATGAATAAGCAAAAAAAATATCAACGCCTGAATCCCAGGCTACATTTCACTGGGTGTAATGATAAAAGATAAACTTTCAACATTCATACATGTGTTCAAAGATAAACATGTGTTAGCACTTTGTACTTGATTATCAAAAATTGAGAAAAGGACATACAGATAAAGAAGAATATTTACAATTATTTTGTATATTCATTATAATTTATTCTACAAAATATAATTTAATAATGGAAAATCTAGAATTATACTAAGAATTATACTAAGAAATATACGACGTGTAATGTATTTCATAGTTATATGTAATTCTACGTGAACAAATGTGACAAATTAGGCAAGAAGCATATCAACATAATGGATACTGCAAGTTATAGAAGAGACGATGAAGGGATTTCACTTAACACCGTTGAAGAAAAGGTAGGGTGAAGTTAGGGCATAAAAATACCAGACAATGTAACTTATATTATCATAACAATACGCATATTTCTCTATTATCTCTACATCTATTCTAGCTAATCCTTAAAGGCACATTATGGCTAAGAAATCCATATTCACCAAATTCTTTAAAAATGTCAAACATGTGTTTAATAATGTTTTTACAAATGGATTTTAAGTATACTAGATGTTTAACAGCTGAAGAAAGTAGCGCTGAATGTGCAGCATTGTGTCGAAAAGGTAGCAAAATGTAAACAATGACGTACGAGTATTTTGACTTCCATATAAAATACTTATTCACTATAACTACACAAATACTAATTCACTATAATTACAACATTGGCAGTGAAGCAATAGAAGCAAAGTAAAGATAGTTCATCTTTATAACAAAATGAGTTGTTTATGAAAACTGTAACAAGATACCAAAAGTTTTTGTGATATAAAAAATCATAGCATTTCTGAGGCTCAATGGGTCTTTAACCTCTTTAACCTATAATGAACTGCCCAGCATTAAAAAGTAAATTTTCAAGGGATTCTAATATCATAATGATGCAGGTTAAAATAATATCTATATATATATTGACTCTTGTCAGACTGATGGATGTATATGATGGCCTGGGTCAAACCTGGTCACAAAGGTTACTAACTTTCAGTTCCACGAGGCACTAGCCGTGTCCAAGTTATGTACGAGTCCAATAGAATCAGTATGGTACTCAATAATGTATAATGAACTGTTATTTTACACCACAAATTCTTAAAGAGGAACACGTTACATTAAAGAAAACTCTCAAACCGACAGTTTTTGTATCATATTAAAAATATAGTGTTTTTTTTAGAACCACATTAATTTGATATGGAATTCTTGGTCTGAAAAATGAAAATAAGGCTACAAAGAGGAGATATTGATTTGATTTATATTCTTTTTGGACTCGAAAACTGAAAACAAAGTTAGGTGAAGTACATTATGTATGTAGTCTATAGGAATTATTTTTTTTGGAAAGCGAGTCTAGATTGAATCCAGTAATGATTTCTATAGAAACGTCACGTGGTACAAATAATGCTTGTATTTTATAGTGAACCGTATTCTTGTGGATACTGATTAAATGGGTTATCACAGTGTTAAAAAGCCCAATTCAATGATTTATTTATCATTTTCGCTCAGATAAATCGTTCATCAAATATACTATCAGTTAGTACTTGAAGCCTGCTTTTTATGTATTTTAACATTGTGACAAATTGTAAAAGAAGTACAATGTAAGTTATAAATAAGACAATAGTAGAGGTCATCTCTCTATGTATTTTTTTCATTTTAATTTCAATATCTTCCGAAAGAGACGATTTATAAAAATAAGGAGCAGCACCCAACTTTCCAAAACTCTTCCAAAACTATCCCTTTGTATCGTAATAATTTGAATATCTTAACTAACACTTACAGGATATTTATGTAAGACTAAATGTGATATTTATCCAATTATTAATATAATTATTATGGATTTCCAATGAATATATTTAAAGTATTAATAATGTTGCTACCTTACTTATCGCATAATCTGGAAATTTAGTGAGATAGATTAAGCAGGATTGATCGAGAGAATAACATTTGTAAATCATGTAATCAAAATGCTATTGAATCTGAATACCATTTTTGCTATGTCTCAGTGAATACGATATTTTAAAAGGAAAATACGCAGATATACATAAATAGTTATCTTTTCAAGGTAGGGAAAATTATAGATGCGTCGATGGAAAGTAAAAGACATATTTGGTTCTTAACGAAGAAAGTTAATTTGTTTATTTCTTTATATTTGTTTTAACTGCATTAATATAAAAAATGAATGCATGTATTAAGAGGATATTTTTTCGTTTGCGTGAAATATGGAATATATTTTCACGAAACATGATAAAATGCCACATATTTTCACGAGCCGGTACGGCGAGTGAAAATATGTGGCATTTTATCATGTTTCGTGAAAATATATACCATATTTCACAAAAAAACGAAAAAATAACCTTTTTATTTAATTTCATTATCAAAGAAAATGGTAACGAATCCCCTTGCTGGCTACCAACTGCAATTGTACAGCGCGCAGTAATTTATGCGTAAGCACGCGCTGTTTGGCGCTATATTGTGACGTCATGTAAACAACTCTTTAAACGTCTGTACAGCGTTAATTACTGAATTAAAGATATTGGTGTTCGGATTAATTTTCTTAGTTAGACCATTTTCTATCATGCTAGCTAGTTTTCAAAACAAAATTCAAGAAAAAGTTGTTTTGTATTCATCAGATTTTTCAAACAAAACGGCGAAAGAAGCCCCTTAAAATAAATATGAGTTTTGACTCCGCCCACTTTCATATTTATATTTCATATTTATTTTTAAAAAATATGAAATATATTTGACTGATATAGCACCATATTTCATGGGTAAAATTAAATATTTTCTTTATATTCATATTAAACGTCTTTGCCATATATAACGTACGTGTGAAAAAGGCCAAAAAATTAAAATTATTACATGTAGTCGAATTATTATTAGTTATTGTGTGAAACTAAAATGCCCAGAGCTTAGATATTTTGCATGTAGCATGACCTTGTAAACCTCTGCAAAACTGATAGTAAATGTAACCACGTGGTCAATATTGGATTTCATTTTTTTACGTCTTTACAAAAACACTTGGCGATTTTAAATAGATAAAAAAAGTAAAATACATAAAGACATGTCCTCTAATAGCCACGATAAGGAGATTCCAAAAATAATATATTAAAAAAATATTCAAAAATTACTTACGTAGAAGGAGAAGTGTTGATTTGCGGCTTTATCTTTATTTTAAGTCCCGCCTCAGCTTAGGTAGTATGAAAAAATACGATTTCGATCGGCGTCCAAACTACAATTGTTACGACGTCATATGTGACGTGATAAGTTTTAAAATTTAAATGTATCGCTTTACCCAATGTAACATTACGCCCCGGTCTCCCCTAGGACAGGTAAGTTAAATTAAATATTGCACACTTTGAATCGTTATCATAAACCGTGTACATATTTAAATGATACTTTTACCGAATTTACCATTCAAAAGATATTTTTTATAGAGTGAGTATCAATGATATTCGTATAAATGATTCTATCACTTTCATGACTGAGCCAGACGAGCCCTACCTAGAAATTGTGTCTAAACTTTTTGCGTGAGTCTGACAACCAAAACAAACTAACTTGGTATACACTAGTCCTTCAGGGCACTGAGGATATTCGTGTCCGCAGTGACAACCGCTCTACTAGTGCATTCAGTGTTTTAATTATATTTAACGCCATAATTCGAATGCCTCCCCATTCATCTGAGAATTGACGTAAAGGGTCAAGAGGTTTCAGCAAGCTACGTCATGTGAGATGGTACGTTTAACCATGAAAAAATTGTTTAACAGCTTTTTTTCTTCGGCTGCATGCTAAAAATGTTGTATCATATATAGCTTTATACACTTTTGAAATAAGAAATATGCATTCACATATTGTAAAAATTCCTTTTTGAAGCATGAGGTGAAAGGTCTGAACGTGTGGACAACGTGTGTGTTTGTAGTAGGTGTGATAGCTGGGTCAGGATTTCTCACCTTACCTAAAGCAATTGAAGATTCTGGTAAGGCATTCCATAAGTTACATTACATATATTAAAATATCTACTAGTTTTAAACCATTTGCATGCTGTTTAAATGACCTCTGCTAAAATGTGACTTTGTCGTCTGCTTTATGTTATAGTTTTAGCCGATTTTCTTCAAAGAGAATGTAGTTCAAATGTTAAAAAACATGGAGCCAGACCAAACCTTGAAGCAAGCTAAGGTTTACCAGTGACCAGTCATACAAACTTTTATAACAGATTATAATAGCTTTTTTAACTGCATTCAAATTTACGAGGTCGTTTCACCAAACGTCGACAAATGATTTTTTCCAGGGTTGATAGGTTTTCTTCTTGTCGTCTTGTGTTGTTTCGTATCCGCATATACAGGGGATATTTTAGGCAAATGTTGGACTATTGTCAGGGATAGACATCCAGAATTTAGGAATGGAAAGGTTCGATATCCGTACCCTGCTATAGGAGAGGAAGCGTTCGGTAAATGGGGCAGGTATCACGTGATTAATTTTCTCATCGTACGGTTTATAATTTCACAATTATCCGGGATTATTGATTTTTTTGGAACACCGAATAATTTCTATCATATTTTAATATCCGTATACAATGGTAGGATACTACGTCATCGCGCACCTGCTGAATGCCCCCACTTGGACCATTTTTCGTCGACTCGAAGGACTTGAGATAATTGAAGAAAAAGTTTATAGAATTATTGCCTGGTTTAGGCCTGAAAACGGGATAAGTGTTTTTCTCTGAATGCTCCCACTCGGACTTTTCCCGAAACATATATGAAATAAGGTTGAAAACCTTCTTGAAAATTATTTTTAACGTACCGGAACATAAACCGAGTCATGTTTACCCATTATTCTATATTAGTTTCAAATATTTCTATTCAGAAGTCATTTTTTCTTAATTCTTTTAATAAAAATGGAAAATGCTCCCACTTGGACTCAACTTCCGAGATGCTCCACTCGGACCTAAATAAATACAAATTTTTAAAGCACATTGCTGTGTTAAGATATTATTATTTGTTCAAAATATCTTTATATTCACGTTCATATATTCATATAATCAGTTAGAATTCAATGAAAATACGATACTTATATAAAGTTGTGACATATTTTATCATAACAGTCTCGTAAATATGTCTTCTTAGAGGATCAGTTATCGGCCTAAGGATAAGAAAAAAGGTTGTGTTGAAACAATTCCTCGTTAAATAGAGTCGCCGAAATAAGAAACAAATTGATTATACATTTTAAAAATATAATAACTTTGTTTTGCAGAAAGTATTTGTGTTTGTGACCAGTATGGGAAAAGGTTTAAACCACACTGCGACGTAAGGAAGCACATGGCAGGACATTTTGGCACGGCATAGCCGGAGCAAATATTTGAGATACCAACTGTGGATATATCTCAGTGAGGAGGACACAAGAATAATAACTCTTTGAAGTTATTGTCTTTTGTTCAGTTTTTGCGTTAATTTTTTGGACAATGTTTCATAAAGGATCAATTCATCTGAAACTTAACTGGATGATAGATTTCAATAAAGTAAAATACCGCAAACAAGAATGACAACTCTCCAGTTTTGGAGTCTCTTTGTATTCACTATGATTAGTTTGCAAGGACAATACCTCTAAATGTATTTGAGATATAAACTTGAAACTTTATATTGAACATATTTAACCTTTTACCCCATGAGCATATTGCGAAAAATTGCCATTTTCATTGAAAAGCCTCCTGTAACAAGCTCAAACTGCTGTGAAACTATGAAAAATACTTCAAAACTGATGAAACTTGGCACAAATGTTGACTACACCATAGCCTCTGTAACAGCATGCTCAATCGTAAATTGCCTGTTACCATGGCAACGGGGGGACGTCTCAAATTGCCAAAAATCACTATTTTGCATTGTTTTTTTTCCATCAAAACTGATTTCAAAGTGCTGCAACTTCTCAATGAATTGAGATAGAGTAAAAGGCTTTTCAGCGTCGGTTACTAGTTACCCTAAGATCGACCTGAGGCCGTTTTTAGCCTGTCACATGTCCCAAAATTTTCTTGGTGATGAGGGAGACTCCGCCCCCTTTAAACCCCCCAAACAGCAGGGGGCACATCCCCCTTCTGGCAACCCCCTGATGTAACATTTGGATGGGGGACGGCGCCGAAAAAGTGGTCATTTTTTTACAACATTTCTCAAACGAAAAACAGTGTTTGGGGCCTGCCTAAATAGGGCATTTTTTCATTGTTTGTGACCTCAAAAAGGGGGGGGGGGCAAAAAGCCGTCGAAAGACGCTTATATAAGAGAAAAGTTAATAGAAGTGAATAGCAGAGCATAAGGACCAGGCTCGGTTTATATTCCGGTACATTAAAAATAATTTTCAAGAAGGTTTTCAACCTTATTTCATATATGTTTCGGGAAAAGTTCGAGTGAGAGAAAACACTTACTAGTATCCCGTTTTCAGGCCTAAACAAGGCAATAATTCTATAAACTTTTTCTTCAATTATCTCAAGTACTATAGCCATTCTTTGGTGCGCTACATGATTTTTAATACTCTTACGTTTTCTTATAATAAAATTGTATTTTACCTTCGAGTCGACGAAAAAATGGTCCAAGTGGGAGCATTCAGCAGGTGCGCGATGACGTAGTATCCTACCATTGGTATATGTGAGTCAAATTGCTAAAGGTTGATCCCTGAAGCGTTTGTCGCTGTGGGCTGGAAACACCGTGGATGAGAGGAAGTTATACAGCCAATCTGAGAAAAGACGGCGGTTCTACTAAATAGCCTGTTCAAGTGGGGGCACTTTTCCACCTGTATATACATGCAGCGCAAGAGGATCACCATATTATAACATTTACAGTATCGGACTTAGTTATTTCACTCTTGAATGAAACAATATAATTAAACAATACTATGAATTTAAATCCAAATACCGAATCTGCCAGTAGATAGAGTTATCATAAGATGTGAACGATACCTCTGACGATATGCTTTTGAATTTTGGTGAAAGTATACTATTTAAGAATCATACACATGTATAAGACATGCCAAAGTCAAAATTGTTTTCATTTTTATTCCAGTGCCGTCATATCGTGCTCCATTAACTTTACAATGTTTGGCACAACCGTCGTGTACATTCTGCTCGCTGCCGGTAATATTGTTGAGCTTCTTCCAGCAGACAGCAAGTGGACTTGTTGTTATATTTCACTTATCATATGGGGTGTCATGACACCGTTTACCTGGCTAGGTACACCGAAGGATTTCTGGTAATTATCAAAATAGTTAAATACTGCCAAATTTAGTTACAAATGTATGAGAGGGGTATTCTAATTAGTGGCAACGACTGTGCGTTTTTATAAATAAGTCATACCTGTGAAAAATTATTACCAGAGTCCATCAAAAATATTTACCATGGACCTCTACATACTTTCAAACCTTAGATTCCATTCCGAAAAAAATATTGAACTGTTCTTTGGGTAAACTGGTAGAGAGCGCTTCCGATGGCACTGCGGGTTTCAAACCGGCGACCGCGAAGGCAAGATTTGATGTATTGATTTAATCAAAAGTTACAAGGAGAGAGGCCATGGCTATAAGCGGGATGTAGCAAAACATAAATTCTCTGCTCCTCTAAATAAGTTTACACCAAGGCTGACCGGTGCAGTTATTTGATCTTGCGCACCCCGGACCTTGGGTTTTTTGTAATGTAGTTATTAACCACAGCAGTGAGAACATGGTCGAGGTAAAATGTTCCAGTGACACTGCCCCTCCCAGGCACAGCGACACTGGCCACTTTTCCATCACGGTCAAAAATAGAGCTCACATAACTCTTTAAACGCTCCTGCTACGTTGAGCAATACCTGGGCGATTGCTGTTTTCACCTACCCACATGTAACTGAGTTTATTGTCGGGCTAAAAAATAACGCCACGTTCCAACCCCTTTGACAATTTCTTTTAGGCGTTTAGGGTTTCGATCTTTGAAACTAGTCAATAAGGCCGAAGCTTTTTCAATCCTTTTCTGATCAGAAGTTAGCAAATGCGGGATCAAACGGGCGTACACTTCCCTTAACTTTTCATGCAAGATGGAAAACACATATGACGCACTAAGGCCAAATAGGTTACCTATCACAATATGTCTTGCATCTTCATCAACTATGGCTTTAACAGTGCTGATGTCTTTTTCAGAGGTAGGGAACATTGGCCGCCCACGGCGGGATCATCCTTGACATTAGTTCTACCTTTCTTAAACATTGACACCCACCTGGCAATTGTACGATATGGAAAGGCTTTTTTTCAGAACCGTTTTAATTTCTGACACGCATTTACCCATAAATCCACGAGTTTTTCAATAAGCTCGTTGCTTATTTCTCAAATCGCAATGCAACTCAGCCATGTTTACAACCAGTATACAAAACCACATGTATTTAAATGACCTGCTAAAATTTTATTGCACGTGCAAATCGTGCGAAAATAGACTGTATATCATACATGTACTTTCACAGCAAATCATTTTAAATTAAAATTTTTGCCAAATAAATTTTGGTCCCACTCGAAAATGTAAAAATTTAATTGTGACTGAATTCTTTCAGTCAAAAAAACGTTAAAAAGATCATAGATACTTTTAGCATAGTAAATGTTTTAATTTTTTTACATTTTACTTGGGAAGTACTTTTTTTGAATTTAATGTTCCCTTTTCCGATAAAAGTAAGGTTTTAAAAACTTGATTGGCAAAAGTGACTTAAATGTTAAAATTGGGGTAGAATAAAAGCACGGGGAAGGGGAAGGATAAGTAATAATGAATTAAATGAAAATTTTTAAAAGTGAATTTTTTTTTTCTTGTTGTTGCTGTTATTGTTGTTTTTTTTAAAAATTGTGTTTTCACTCTTAAAACGCCCCTCTCTGCCCAGGTAAAATGTACTCAAACGTTTGATTTTACAGTATTCAAAAAAACGGGACTATTGCATATTCAAGTTTTTAGATGGTTTTTTTTTTTTTTTTTGAAAAAATACTTGTTACAAATTTTTTAAAAGGGGATTGCTGCAGGCGCAAGCTGGCAAGAAACCGCCAGCTTTATATTTTTTGGAGTAAGTGATAAAAAACTATAGTAAAAAAATTGACGCCCTGACGTAAGCCCCCAAAATGTTGCCCTCATATCGTTTTTTCCAAGTTTACGGGACAATTGTTTTTGCAAAAAAGGGGCATCGCGTTTCCAACGTTCCCCAATCGAATGGCAAAACCCAAGGAATTTTGGCAAGCTTGGCCTGGAAAATATTTCAGTGAATCATTACTTCAAAATATAATTTACTTGGGGGGATTTAAACCCCAAAGGTTTTTGGGGGGAAGCTTTTTTTAAAAACAGCATTAACCACTCGCCTACATAGACTTCGCGGTATTAAATAATTATTTTTTTACAATAGTTAACAAAATTATTTCAATGAAACATCATAATCATTTCTTAACATTCAAGACAATATTTAAAACGGAAAGTAACAAGGAACATTTAATAACCACTGTGTTTCTTTTCAGTTGTTTTTGTGATTTATATGCCGTGTTCAATAGCTACTTATGTTGTATATGGTGAGACTATAGAAGCAAATATACTGAGTTCAGTGGCTAGTGGGCCAGCAACAACAATAGTATCAGTTCTGATGACTGCGCACCTTTTGTTTGGTATCGTCATCGTCATAAACCCTGTTTCCCAACAGTTAGAACACGTGTTGAATATACCGGAGAGTAAGTTTGCTTTTCTTAAATAAAGATTTCCAATCAAATCACAGGGGCAATGATATGCATGTAGTTTAATATTTGTTATAATTCTGTTTATGTTAAAGACCATGTAAGACATTTTTTTATAGTTTTATAACATAAATCTTATGCTCAAATAAAGATTTATCAATATTGTAAGTTTCAAAAAGAATTATTTGTAAAAGATATTACCGAATTCAACATTTCATGTAAATAAAGGGAGGTAAATATTATTCTTAAGAGTATTTTTTTTCCGATAAAGTCTAAGCCAATTTTTTTACAAATAAAAAATGAATGCGTTAATTTTTACGCTTAATTATGACGTATATAAATATTTGCTGTTTAAATTAATATTAACATATTCTTTGTTGTTTTGAAACTGTTTTAGAAAAATAAATATATACGAACATATATAAAAGAGTTACATAGGCCTACCATTATAGTGACCACTTTCATTTAATGTACTGAAGCCGAATGTTTTTTATTTGTTTGAAGTTCAATATGCACAATAACATATTTCAATAGGCGGTAAAAGTAAACAAAATTTTCAGATTATGTTCTTTTTCTTTTTGTTGTTATTGTTTTTTGTGTGTTTTGTTGTTGTCGTTTTGTTTTGTTACATATTTTGACTCAGTTAATCTTATTTCTGAAGGCGTCAGAAGCAAATTCACCTGTTATTTGCGCAAAATCGTTCAATAGTTTTTACAATAAATAATTACCAAAATCACTATGCAAAATTATAATGTATATTATTTTATATATATTACAGCCTTCACGTGGAAACGTATACTTTCTCGAACCTTGACAATGCTAGCAGTTTTATTCGTGGTGGAATCTGTACCCCATTTCTCCTCCATCCTCTCACTGGTCGGCGGATCCACAATATCTATTCTAGCGTTTATATGTCCACCATTATTTTATCTCAAACTGTGCCGAGGCGATGGAATGTGAGTAGAATTATATGATATGATTAAGAAATTATATATGAGCCGCGTCACAACAAAACCAACATATATAGTGCATTTGCGACCAGCATGGATCCATACCAGTTTTTTTAAACATGTTTTAGATTTTAATAAATATGATTAAGATAAAATACTATATATAGCACCGACATGACCAGAAGTAAAAATAAATCTTGTCAACAAAATGTTTTAGACAATCATAAGAAAACAGAAAGTCACGTTAGTTACCGACTTAATATGATAAAGTACTGTTCTACTTAACGTAGAAGAGATACACAATTTCTTCATTGTAAACGTTTTGTAAACAAAACCTTTTTTCTCTTACAGAAATGTTCCACTACATACAAAAGTATTTCTCATTGAAATAATGCTTATAGGCGTGACCGCCGGAGTGGCTGCGACTTACTCGGCGATTTCTGATCTGGCTGTTAACAAGTTCACAGTTCCATGCTATGTTGATGCGTATAAAGCCTGTCCTAGGTAGACATGGAGGACCTTGTATATTTTCTTAGAATGACTACAGTTAAACAAACACTGGAAAATATATAATAGATTTTAAAAGAAGTAATTGCTGACTATGACAATACAGAACATATAAAATACAATGTAAGTTTTGATAAAATTGATGGTCTATCCTATATACAGTCGAACTTGTGTTAAGGACCATATCCAAATAAACAAACAACTTTCTGACAAACTTTTATTGACGAAAATACAACATAGTAAACTCCTGAATAAAGACCATTTGTTTATTAACTCCACGCATGGTCTCTCCTTTGGATGACCGTTATTCACAAGTTTTACTATATTCACGAATTAAATAATTCAGATTGGAAATTTTACATTTATAACATTAATATTTCTGCTTAAAACATAAGAATCTTTAATCCCTACGTAAACAGTATAGATGTATTGTTCAATAAAACAAAAATGTTTTCTTTTTTTTTTTTTTTAGTAAATACACCTTCATACATAATTGCAAATATGCAAGCAGCACTTTCTTTTTGGTGCACTATGCAGTGCGCTTTTACGCAAACTGATTTCGTTAAGTGAATTTACCGGTAATATTGTACAATATGATATTTTAATGAAATGTGTCTGTAAAGTGAATACTTTATGACAAAGAAAAACATTTCTTATTTTTAGCAAAGGGATATTCTCTATCAACAGCTAGCATGAAGTAGAAAATCTTGATAATTTTCAGTATTGTTAATTAAAAAAGACTCGTTGATCGTGACGTGATCAATGTTTCACGGACAATGACGAAGTGCTCCGAAATTTCAGAAAATTAGGAGGGGTGCATTTCTTTGATTTATGTATCATATTTAGACAAAAGATATTATGGGCAGTCAAACCGATTCTGTATTGTTCCTGTTTTGATGCTCATCGCTTGCAATATTTCTTCTCTTTTTTTTTAATATTTCAGACACCGAATGTGTCTCAACTATGATGTATAAAAAAGGCAATATTTTATACCCATTTTATATACTTATTGAAACTAAGTCGTACGATGTGCTAGTAAAGATAACAACATTCATATTAGTGCATTACAAAAAGTGGATACCAGTCAATGTTTATTTCATATAAAGTTTACAACTGTTAAATTCATAAATTATGCATTTGGTTTACAATGAAACGAGCCGGGCCCAGGCACCCAAATTTTTCTTTTCTTACTGACTACCAATGGTTGAGCTGTGGCTACTTCCGCTGGAACAAACTGGCACGACAGTCCTGGGCCACATCCACAGTGTCCGTTTGCCTGTTCGAGCGGCCCGCAGTGATCGTGTTCAAGACGGTATCTTTCACAAAGCCCTGAGAAATTGAAATACTTAGATAAAATTTGAGGAAAAAACTTAAACTTTAAATCAAAACTTAGTCTATATATTGCTTAGTGTAATATTTGGGATACCCGCGACTGATTTCCATCTACAAAAGAATTGGTATGGAAGAAATTACCGACATGCCAGCAATTCATGTTACCATGGCAACACAGAAAACACAGCAGAGGCTGCCTTTGTGTAAAGACAATCACATTCAACAACCACCTGTACTTTTGGGTTGAAATAAGGTCATGAATTGTAAGAGTATAATATGGTATATGTAACACATATGCATATGACAAACTAGTATTTTTAAATTAAAGGAACTCCACTTAGGTCTAATGGGATAAAACTGAACAAAATGAAAATATTACCAATATCAAGTGGTAAAAATCGGCAAAGTATGACAGAGAAATATACCCAGAATTAAATTGAAAAAAACAAATTTATGCGAAAATCAACCGAAATTAGGAGAAAAGCGTTGCAACGCTTTCCAGTTTTGGGCCATTTTTCACAATAAAAATGATTATTCTGGAAAATCATGATGAGGGAATGAGATAAAAGAAATTTGCGCAAAATGTTATTGCAGGATAAGAACATAATTCAATTGGTATACAAATCTCGGAAAAAAAATCAGCGCCGTTATGTCTTAAAACGTCAGTGGAGTCCCTTTAATACGATGTTGATACTGAATTGGTTAATAATGAAGTGGTCATGAATTTTGCATCGAAGTGAATATTTCTTGTCGAGCGCAAATTGGTGCGCAGATTGTTGTAAAGGCTGCTTGTGCAGTGGTTCAACAAATAATAACACCATCTATATAAACCACACCTTATTGCCTTATATCGAAGTATTGAGGACTGTATGTCATTCTTCAGATTCATTGCTGGAATAAGTTTACAATCTCGTACACAGTGATCTTCCCTTATTAGTACAATTCTGCAAAGGGAGGTAATCACTGTTACTTATCAGTTTTCACCTTGTTTGTGCTGTGATGGCTGAAGCGGAAGGATACTGGCTTGACGGCGTCTGCTGACAATCTCAAATTCAGGTTTTATATAGCAACATTCTCCAGATCCGCAATCAGTGTTTTGTGTACATAATGTACCCTAAAATATACAAACGACATATTGTACCCTAAATTATACAAACGACATATTGTACCCTAAAATATACAAACGACATATTGTACCCTAAAATATACAAACGACATATTGTACCCTAAAATATACAAACGACATATTGTACCCTAAAATATACAAACGACATATTGTACCCTAAAATATACAAACGACATATTGTACCCTAAAATATACAAACGACATATTGTACCCTAAAATATACAAACGACATATTGTACCCTAAAATATACAAGCGACATATTGTACCCTAAAATATACAAACGACATATTGTACCCTAAAATATACAAACACATATTGTACTATTCTATATATTTTTTATCAAAACCGACAAGTTTTACTATTAAAAGGACATACCCTGACACATTAGAACAAATTATAATGTACAAAAATGAACGCATTACCCTCAATTAAACAGATAATGACAAAAAGGACATACTATACAATAAATTAAACACATTATGAAGAAAACATGACTTAGTTTAACAGATTGTGGTGAAGAATGAACATATTGTACCCTAAATTAAAAAAGTTATGATGGAAAATGAACATAGAATACACTTTATTACACAGAATATGATGAATAATGAATAAATTGTACCCGCAGATTATGATGAAAAAATCAATATTGTACCTATGATATGAATATAGACATATTTCATTATAAAAGAAACAGACTATTGTAAAAAATATATTGTACCCTAAAGTAAACACACAACAATGAAAATGCTGTCCAGCATATGCAAACATTCAATTTTCTTTCTACAAACATCTAAAAATCATATGAGCCGCGTCAAGACAAGACCAACATAATGGGTTTGCGACCAGCATGGATCCAGACCAGCCTGCGCATCAGCGAACAGCATGGATCCTGATCAGACTGCGCGGATGCGCAGGCTGGCCTGGATCCATACTGGTCGCGAACCCATTATGTTGGTTTTTGTCGTGACGCGGCTCATATATATATATCTTTGTCTTCGTTCATTATATTAACTAACTGGTCTTATATCTTATTTTTGAAATTGTCTGATTTAGCACTGAAAATCGGAAATTTCCTACCCCGATCGTGTAAACCACAGAAGTTAGAACTGCGACAAAGAACGCAATTTCTTTCAACGTCATGTTTTTCAAAGCCATTCGTATGTATGCCTTCGACTTTTCTGAAATTTAGCTATAAATAAGTGCTGTTATCATTTGACTTTAAAATTGAACTTAAATAAGACAGAAGATAAGGCGAATGACACCGTAAACAACGTGGAATAAACATCTTTATCTTACATAGTCCAATATCCTGTTATCTCCTTAAACCGGAAGTCCAGATTTTTGATACTTAAAAGTACATCTTCTGGGACAATTGTTACAAATAGATATATAAATAAAAAGGGCAAATGTTGTTCATAACTTCGGAGGCTTTTTTCTCGATGCTCAGAACGGTCAAAATTACAATTTAATGAAATTTGTATAGATCTATATAGATCTACATGTAGTTCCAGTACATGTACACGAACAAGTATAGGGTCTTATCAGGCTATCCTGCCTGTATGCACTGGGGACGTGGTCTCTTGAGTCATTATCGGCAGTTGTGTTCATAGCAAATTTATCTGAATTACATTACAATAACATTTGTTGTTTGAACCTGAACGAGTAGTACAGTTATATCTGTAAACAAAGAGTAATAGAATATATCATTGGTTTAGATAGGGAATAAGGAAATCGATCAGTTTCATTTAGAACGAGACTTGAGTGTGCTCGAGGGTTGGGATTTTCCCAGTCCCTTATCTAACCCACTGATTGATTATTTTTCTCATTTACCAGAAACATAAAAACTTAGTTTTAAAAGCACCAGTTGATAAATTACATAGAAAACAAACATATATTTAATTTGAATATTAAAGCAGAAAGGATATTACAAATATTTTCATTTTCGTGGTCAACTCCAAACCGGTTTTAAATAGCCTTATTTCATTGTAAAATATATAAAAAAAAATATTCAGAAATTTGTCGGTACAGTCAAATTTTCTACTGTTGTTGGTCTTCGGTGACATGCATTGGACAGTTTGTGTACGAAAACTGGCTTGTTTGCCGAAACTGCCAGCAATTGGCGGTGAAAAGTGAACAAGACTGCCAAAAATTGGCGGCGAGAAGGGATCCAGACTGCCAAAGTTTGTAGGCTACAAGGGAACCAGACTGCCAAATATTTCGGACAAGAAATTGCAGCTGTAGCATTTTCGCAAATTATCTTAATTTTAACCCTGACATCATTAAGGAAAAAGATGTAGTATGAAAACCGGAAGATCCGACAACAGTGTTGACAAGGGTCAACTACTCAGTCTCGCATTTTCTTTAAATAATTCGAATTTAAATTCGTTTTTTTAACTTTGCAGAAAAATGCACTGTATCTTCCAGTTTAAGTAAATCTTTAAAAAGAAAAAAAAATCATTGAACAGAAAAATGATGGCGTATGTTGTTATACTTACACGTTTATGATAGATAATATATTTCTTCAAAATTTTAGTCTCAATTTCAGACGATATCTCGATGTTGTTAATTTTTATCTGATCATACTGTTTCAGTGATTCCAATACCTGCAGTATTGACGATTGAAATCTACCCGTTGCACCTAATTAACAGGCTCAATTTATGTTAGCAATATTCCATCTCGACGGATTTCCGGATCATTTCCCCCTTTATCAGATTTCTTTTTCTACCAATAATATTTGCAATGGGAGATTACTCAAGCAGGTTTAACTACAAATATGTATTAACAAAAGATTACTCTTTCTTCTTGTCGTTTTAATACGTTTTACTTATAATTGTATCATAGTATGGGGACTTTTCTGTTATAAATGTGTATACATATACATGCACAGTGCGTTAACTGGAGTGCAGGTATTAGTTACCCGCACTCCAGAGCATGCCCATTGATTGGCTCATTTTGGCTGGGGTTTACTTATTGTGACGGCAGAGAAAGGGAAAGGGACAGATATATCATATTCAGATGCTAGTTCATTGACAACAGGGAACGTGTTTTTATGTTTGACTATGATACATCAAAACACTCGGCAATCTGATTAATACTCGGGGGCTACGCCCCCTCGTACAAATCAGATAGCCTCGTGTTTCGATGCTTTTTCTATTACATAGAGAAAAAAATATTGAGCCCACAAAGAACGAACCAAAGACCGTTTACATCCAAACAGAGGAAAACGGTCACGTGGTACAAATTGACGCTGATCTCGAGTACACCTTTCCAAAAATTCGTCATAATAGTTATAGCGTTGTTATTAAAATATTTATAGTCAATGTCGAATATAAACTGTATGCTATCAAGTAGCTTGAGCTATTATTTCCTGCCAGATATCTTCACTTTGTTTGTTTCATATGACATTATTTGCTGATATTTATTTTATTTCAACACTCTAAAATATATCATATTTCATTATCAAATTTTGTAAAGCGTAAGATAACGTTTAAATATAAAGAGAAAAGGCTGATTTGCTTTTTAGCTCATCTGAGCTTGCTCAGGGTGAGCTTTAAGGATCGTTGAATGTCCGTCGTCAGTCGTCCGTCCACATTTGTTCGTTAACTCTCTAGCGGTCACATTTTTGCCTCAATCATCATCAAACTTTGTCAGGCCGCTTGTTTATGTAATTGCTCGGATAAGTTCGAACATGGGTCACCTCGAATGAAAAACTAGGTAACAGGAGCATAAAATAGAAAAATCTTGTTTACACTCTAGTGGATAATGTCTTGATCCAAATATCATCGAAATTGGTCTGAAAATTTGTTTTAATGATTTCTAGGTCAAGTTTGAATATGTCTCACCTTGGGTCAAAAACTAGGTCACAACGCCAAAATATGGAAAAACCTTGTGAAAACTCTAGTAGTCACTTTTTTTACTCAATCATCATCAAACTTTGTCAAAATGCTTGTCTAAGTAATTCGAACATTGGTAATCTCGGATGAAAAAATAGGTCACAGGAGCTAAAAATATTAAAATCTTGTTCACACTCCAGTGGCTACTGTTTTGATCCAAATATCCTTGAAATTGGTCTGAAAGTTTGTTTTGATAACTGCCATTTCAAGTTGAAACATGGGTCACCTGAGGTCAAAAACTAGGTCACAACGCCCAAATATGGAAAAACTTTGTTAACACTCTGTGGTCACATTTTTTACTAAATTGTCATCAAACCTTGTCAGAATACTTATCTAGGTAATTGTTGGGATGAGTTCCAACATGGGTCATCTCTGATAAAAAAAACTAGGTCAGAAGAGCTAAAAATATAAAAATCTAGTTCTTATTTTAGTGGCGACTGTTTTGATCCAAATATAATGGAAATTGGATTGAAAATATTGGTCATTTGAATGAAAAACTAAAACACAGGAGCTAAAAAAAGAAAAATCTCGTTAACACTCTAGTGGCTATTGTTTTGATTAACATATCCTTGAAATTGGTCTGAAAGTCTGTTTTAATTTGATGATTTTTTTATGAATATGGGTCATCTCGGATGAAAAACTAGGTCACACCGCCCAAATATAGAAAAACCTTGTGAACACTCTGGTGGTGACATTTTTGACTCAATTGTCATCAGACTTGGCCAGGATGTTTGTCTAGGTAATTGCTGGGGTGAGTTCGAACATGGGTCATCTCGGATGAAAAATTAGGTCACAGGAGCTAACAATATAAAAATCTTGTTCTTATTTTAGTGGCGACTGTTTTGATCCAAATATCATGGAAATTGGTCTGAAAGTTTGTTTTGATGATATCAGGGTCAAGTTGGAATATGGTCACCTGGGGTAAAAAACTAGGTCACACTGGTCAAATATGGAAAAACCTTGTTAACACTTTAGAGGTCACACTTTTGACTCAACTGTGATGAAGCTTGTCTAGGTAATTGCTCGGATGAGTTAGATGGGTCAGGTGAGCGATCTGGGGCCATCTTGGCCCTCTTTTTTAAAAAATAGTGTAGGTACCTTTCTGAATTATTGAACTTGTTAATAAAATAATATTTTGCACGCCAGAGGTTCGCATAATATAATTTTATTCAACTGGTTCTATTAATTCAGTATTGAACCTACGCTCATTTAATATCATCGCTTTATTTTAATTTAGACTGCATAGTATATCAAATTTGAGCTTAATATATTTTTTATAACCTTGTATCTATTTTCAGATCCCTTGGCCATTTACGTATTTGTCTTACATTAATATCGGCTGAATATTGATAATCTTTAATTATCAACATGTTTGTTAAATATCATGTAATCAAATAATGATTTGGTGTCAATATTTCTATAAGAAGGTCGTGTAACAATGAATAATAAATAAGTACGCATAATTTTACCAACAAATGTGTCACATTTGTTACATTTGATGTTGTTTTGATCAAGTTCTTTTAATAAAGGAGTAATTTCTGCGTAGCACTTATATACAAGTATATAGTCATGTTAAGTGATCGAAACACAAAAAAAAGAGTTTCACATCCCGCGAGACACTTTAGACCACTTAACAAAACGTATATCTGTATGAGGCCACAAGTAAAACTTAAGAAACTGTATCAACTGTGTCAGCTTGAACTCGGGTTGACATCGTCGGATCATTTGACAGAATTTAAACATATATCTCAAATATATGAGCCGCGTCACGACAAAACCAACATAATGGGTTTGCGACCAGCATGGATGCAGACCAGTCTGCGCATCCGCGCAGTCTGATCAGGATCCATGCTGTTCGCTATCAGTTTCTCTGCTCATTATAGGGTTGGTACGCGAACAGCATGGATCCTGATCAGACTGTGCAGGCTGGTCTGGATCCATGCTGGTCGTAACCACTATATGTTGGTTTTGTCGTGACGCGGCTCATATATATTTTAACACCTAATGCGATATTATTCTTATGTTTTAAAGTATAAAACATTTTTTAGTGAAATTAAGAGTTATACAATCGTTCTTTGAAACTCCAGTGCCACTGCAATTTTATTTTAATTCTTGAGAACACCAGTACTTACAGAAAAATGTCTCTCAAAATAGATGTGTTTGCATGTTGGTAAGGACATTTGTTATGTATAACAGGCCGTGACCTTTTGTTCATCAGCTCATACGCAAATCATACACTAATATTTCATGATGATTGTTCATTTTAAACAGTCGGAGTCTTTCAATTGACGCAATAAAGATATACAAATGTATATAATGATTGTTGCTTTTTCTGTGTTTTTTT